TCGTGACTTCGGGCGTTCTTGGGGATCCCGGGACAGGGACTGGTGCGTGTGCGGTCCAGACTTCGTTGGATCAGGAGCGAAAGAAGGACGTACACGTACATGAGTCCACGCTGGTTTCGAGAGTACGCATTGCCCGAAAGTTCGTATCACGCGGCCGGTCTCGCAGATCGAGGGGCCGTGTTCGTGTACATAGCTGGGCGCGTACGTCCTTTGTGGGCTCCCTATTGGAAGGGCGTGAGAGCACCGACCCTGGGGCCCAGGAGGGGCTGCGGGCGTGGGCTCGCGGCCTTTCCCGGGCGGCGGGCCGCAAGAGCCAGCGAGAGGCATGAGGCCGGCCAGAGAGCCAGCAAACAAAGAGCCGCATGTTTGTCGTTATATATACGTATATAATATATATATATACACATATATATATATATATGTATATATGTTGCTGTTTGGTCATATTATATATATATATATGTGTGTATGTATGTATGTATACACGTCTCTCTCTTGGTTGTTTCCATATATAAATACATCCTTATATATACGTCTAGAATCATCATCAGCAGCATCATCATCAGCAGCAGCATCATCTCATGATCCCCTTGTGTGGCGGTCTTCTGACCCGGTCAGGGCCCGCTTGATGTCTCTTTGGCCCTCGTGTGCCTCGCAGAGGCGGGGACAGCACGCCGCGAGGGAGTCGGTCCGGTGGGGCAGGTCAGCAGGAGGGGCCCCTCTGCAGCAGGCCCACATCGGGGGCGGCAAAGGGGGGGGTGATGACTAGGGGGGAGATATCATGGCGTGGGCCATGATATTTCCCCAGATTTCAGGGCGCCTCTTCTTAGTTCATTGCGTCCCTGGCCCCCCCCAAGGGCCGCGCACATGCCGCCGGCCATGATTTGCACCCCCCCTCTTGGACGCCCCCCTCTTGGCCGCTCCCGACCACAGGCAAGGGCCATCCTCAGTCTCCTGCTACTGCTGCTGCTGCTGCTGGTGTTCCTCCTTCTCCTCCTCCTTGTCACGCTGGACCGACCCAGGGTTTCCTTATGGCATTCTTGAGGCGGAAAGAGGAAGCAACAGAGTACGACTCGGGTCAAGGTGCACCTGGCGGGCGCCGCGGAAATTGAAAGAAGTACAGATAGGCCGAGAGTAGTACAAAAAAGAGGCGCCCGCCAGGTCCTCGAGGTTGGCATTCGCCTTAGTAACCAACAACCCCCCATCAGTGGATAGGATCTACCTGTACGACCGCCCTGCGGGCGATAAGGAGGTTGGAGGGGGATTGACATCAAATGCCCACCCTGACTGACCTCCAGCCTGTCACCTTGATCTCATCTCTCTCTGTGTCTCTCTCTCTCTCTCTCTCTCTCTTTCGGCGCCGACAAAAATGAATTGATGGATTGGGTTGGGTGGATTGGATTGGATGGGATGGGGTAAGATGGATTGGATAAGATGGGTTGGATTGGAAGAAATGGATTGGATAAGGTAAGATGGACTGGATTGGCCCGCCGCAGGCGCAGAAACAAATGAATTGATGGATCGGGTTGGGTGGATTGGATTGTGTGGGATAAGATGGGACAAGATGGATTGGATTGGAGAAGATAAGCTGGATTGGATAAGAAAAGAAAGCCCGCCGCAGGCGCCGAACAAAAACGAATTATGAAATTAGCGACATGCGTTAGCGCCGGGACGCCCAGGACACCCGGGACACCCGGGACATCGCCCGGCCCACCTGGAACACTTCCTGGCCACCGGCGGACGGGAAACGGACTTTCGCTCCTACTGACACCCCGGACACCCGGGACACCGCCCGGCCCAACTGGGACACCGGCGGACGGGGAACGGAATTTCGCTCCTCCTCACAAGGCCTAGCTACAGGAGGATCACGCGCAGCTTCGCCTCGCACGCACGACACGAACACGAAACCGAAACCGATTTCCCGGTGGGAGGTTTCCGTCTGCGATCTCACACCCCAACCTCCGACCCCCTATTATATTCATTGTAAGTGCTTCCTCGGATGGCAAGTAGCAGCAATCACATAATGGAACGAGTGAAGCAGTGTTGGCGACAGTTTGATGGTGATGACAACCTCCTCTGCTATGTGCAACCCCACCAATCCCCATCCTAATAGCAGTACTTGGGATGCTGCCTATGCTGTATAGTCAGAAGAGAGGCGCAGTTTACCCAGCAGTTGGCCCGCTCTTTTAGCCAGCAGGAGGCCCGCTCTTCGGTTCCTGGGTGGAGGGTCCACCGCCACCGCTTCTTGTCAGGAGTATGAGGGGTAGGCATGTGCGAATCAGGTCAGCAGGTAAATCGGGTAGGCTGCAAAGGCTGGCCTTGGTTTGAAGTTTGTGCAGGCAAGCCTGTAAATACGAACACTTCTCTCTCTCTTTCTCTCTTTCTCTCTCTCTCTCTCTCTTTCTCTTTCTCTTTTTTTCTCTCTCTCTCTCTCTCTCTCTCTCTTTCTCCCCTCTATCAGAGCCTCCCTCCACCACAATGATGATCGCGATGACGATAAGATCCCAGTATCTACCTATCCGTCGACCGACCTATCGGTGAATTGCACTGTCGATCTCACTACCGACCCCAAAAGCAAAATCAGAAAGCCCGCCGCAGGCGCCGCGGGAGACGCCATGGCAAGCGGACGGACGGACGCCACTGGGCGGCTTCCGAAAGGCAAGGGCGCCGAACGCTCGAGCCTCGCAGTCTGCCGCGATCGCGCCCAGGCGCCGACAAAAATGAATTGATGGATTGGGTTGGGTGGAGTGGATTGGATGGGATAGGATGGAACGGATAGGATAAGATAAGATGGGTTGGATTGGAACAATGGGTTGGATAAGATAAGGTGGATTGGATTGGCCCGCCGCGGGCGCAGAAACAATTGAATTGATGGATTGGGTCGGGTGGGTTGGATTGGGTGGGATATGATAAGATGTGGCACGAGGGGTTAATTGAGATAATATGGGTTGGATTTGACAAGATGGATTGGAGAAGATAAGCTGGATTTGATAAGAAAGCCCGCCGCTGGCGCCGACGAAAATGAATTGATGGATTGGGTTGGGTGGGTTGGATTGGATTGGATAAAATGGAATGGATATGATAAGATGGGTTGGATTGGACAAAATGGGTTGGATAAAATAAGGTGGATTGTATTGGCCCGCCGCGGGCGCAGAAACAATTGAATTGATGGATTGGCTTGGGTGGATTGGATTGGGTGGAATATGATAAGATGTGACACGAGGGATTGGATGAGATAATATGGGTTGGATTGGACAAGATGGATTGGAGAAGATAAGCTGGATTGGATGAGAAAGCCCGCCGCAGGCGCCGGAAAAAATGAATTATGAAATTAGTGACATGCGTTAGCGCCGGGGCGCCCGGGACACCCGGGACACCCGGGACACCGCCCGGCCCAACGGGGACACCTCCCGGCCACCAGCGGACGGGAAACGGACTTTCGCTCCTACTGACACCCGTGACACCCAGGACACCGCCAGGCCCAATTGGGACACCTCCCGGCCACCGGCGGACGGGAAACGGATTCTCGTTCTTCCTTCGGCCTCGCTACAGGAGAATCACGCGCAGCTTCGCCTCGCCCGCATGCACGACACGAACACGAAACCGAAACCGATTTCCCGGCGGGGGGGTTTCGTTTCATTGCGATCTCACCCCCCAACCTCCGGTAAATGTCGCACAGGCTGGTCTGTGCAGGCTGGCCTGTATGCACCTTTAGCAAGCGTGCCCTTGCCGTGGGCCAGGGTTTTCTGGTTGACCCTAAACCGTCGGATCTGAGTGAGGAGGCACCAGTCTGGCCGATCAGAGGAGTAGGCGGAGTACGGGCAACCCAAAACATATAGTGCGGATAACACGTACTACTGTTGCAGAGGGGTATGCAGATTGTGCACCGTAACCGCGTGCGTGGGCAGATTGCTCACGTGTGCGGCTGTGGGACATGAAGGAAGCTAGTTTGTATGCACTTTGCAGACACTTGCCCGTGTTGTGGGCAGGGGTTTGCTCATTGACCCCTAACCGTCGCACACAAGAACAGTGACAGGCAAGCGGTATGTACGGTGATGGGCCAATTGTCCACCACCACTACCATATGGGAGGATGGGGAGGTCCTCATCCTTCTCCTGCCCTTCCCTCTTTTAACTAGTGGTAGTTGTGGTGGAAAGTCGGGCCAACATACGGCGCGCTGCCAAAATAGGACGCGCACGGCGACTACCAGCAGATGACACGGCCGTATAAAATGCCCGATCGGCGGGCAGGGGTGTCTGGTTGACCCCGGACCGACGAGGCTGAGAGGCTAAGAGGAGAGCAGACGAAGTACAGGCCAGGAAAAGAAGATCACACCAGAGAAAAATCCCTATCAGTGGATTGTTTTCGATGAGGAGATCAACCTTGAACCCGGGAGCCCGGGAACCCAGAACCCACCGAAGTCGGCCCGGAACCAATAACCAGGAACCCAGAATTGGGAACCCGGGAACCCAGCTTGCTACCAAATCTTTCAACATACGCCAGGACCCCTTCAGTGCAAGCACTGATTGGGGAATGGTGCGGCTGACAGGTAGTATTGTTGCAGAGAGGTGTGCAGTTTGTGCATTGCAGCTGTGCACATGGGCAGGTTGCTCACGTGTGCTGTTGTGGGCCAAAAAGAAAGCCAGTCTGCATCCACTTCTGTATAGACTTTCCCGCGTTGTGGGCAGGGGTTTCATGGTTGACCCCAAACAGTCGCAGCAAGTACAGTGTAGGCAAGTTGTATGTACGGCATGTTGCCAGGGCGCGCATTGCGATTGCTAGCAAACGGCACGGATCCTCCGCCTCCTCCTCCTCCTCCTCCTCCTCCTCCTCCTCCTCCTCCTGTGACCTTCCCTCCCGTGCCTCCATCCCTTCCTCCTGCCCCCCCATTTGTCCTCCTCGGCCCTCCTCCTCCCCTTCTCCTGCTGCTGCTCTTCGCCCTCCCTCCGCTTCCTTTCACCATGATTGGGCCGCGTCTGCGACATAAACGCGCCGCCCAGGCCAACGCCTTCTACGAGCGCAGGGTGCCCCCGAAGTACCAGCAGCTCTACAGCAGGCGTATAGCCAGCCTGACGTTCCAGGGTGAGTAGTGTCTCCTCCTCCTCCTCCTCCTCCTCCGCCTCCTCGTCCTCTTCCGTCTCCTCCTCCTCCTCCTCCGACGCCCCTTCCTTCTCCAGGGATCCGCGCGAGAGCGCGAATACAGCAGTGTCCTCATGCCCCTTCCTGTGCCCCCCTCCTCCCCATGCCCCCTCCTGTTCTGCAGTGGAGACCCATGCCAAGAAACACCCTGCTTGCCTCCAGGGCGCCCTGGGTTTCTTCGGTTTCGATGGTTTTGCTATGGAAAGCGTGACGTTCCCACACAAAGAATCAATGGACGTCCTGGGGTCTCAGAGTTGGGTTTCTCGCGGAAGGTTTCTTGTGCATTGGCCTCCACTGTACGTGATGTCCCCTCTTGTCCCCCCCCTCCCTTGCCCCCCATAATGCCCGTTACGGCCGCGAACAGACGAAGTCCGTTAAGTCGGGTATGTCCCACTAGAGGGGAATATTCAAATAAATAGTCAGGGTACGATTGTCCACTATGTTTGACCCTTTTTGATAGTTGTTTTAATATTTCTTATCTCAGGCCCCCCATAATGCTCGCCACGGCCGCGAACAGACAGAGTGCGCTCCAGCCGCCCCGCGCTGCCGCGCCCCCGCTATGACTCCGCCGACCCCCAGGAAAATGTGGGAGCGTGCGGGAAGTGGTGGGGACGACGAGAACCCAGAAAAGATGGGAAAACAAGTGGCACGCGTGCCATGGCTCTGGCACAACAGGGAGGGGGGAGGAGACGGAGGAGGAGGAGGAGGAGGAGGAGGAGGAGGAGGAGGAGGAGGAGGAGGGGAGAGGGAAGGAAGAGGAGGAGGAGGAGGAAGAGGAGGGAGGGGAACCCTGGGAGCTGTGTCTGCTTCTTTGTGTGTGTGCCTGGGCGCCCTCGCGCCCTGCGCTGCCGGGCCGGCCGCTGTGAGCATCCGCCGACGGCGGCGACGGCGCCCGAGAGGAGGGGACGGCAGCGGCAGCGGCGGCGGGGCACCGGCCCGAGGCGCGGCGCCTCCCGGGCGGACCGAGACCGGTGCGCCTCCCCGCCCCGCGGCGGCTCGGGCTTTCACCTGGCATCGCTCGGACGTGTGCATTTTTTTTCGGCGAGGGCCATCGAGGAGCATCCTTGATCATTTGGCGGAAAAAAAAAAAAAAAAAAAAAAAAAAAAAAAAAAAAAACACGCACGGAACCAAAAAAAACACAAGGAATGGACGTCCGAGCGATGGCCAGTTCAGGAGACGGAAGGTCCTTCTCCTCCTCCCCCCTCCGTGCATTGCAGCCGTGCACGTGGGCAGGTTGCTCACGTGTGCTGTTGTGGGCCAAGAAGAAAAAGCCAGCCTGCACGCACTTCTGTATATAGACTTTCCCGCGTTGTGGGCAGGGGTTTCATGGTTGACCCCAAACAGTCGCAGCAAGTACAGCGTGAGGCAAGTTGTATGTACGGCATGTTGCCAGGGCGCGCACTGCGAATGCTAGCAAACGCCATGGATCCCCCTCCTCCGCCTCCTCCATTCCTCTTCCTTCCAAGTGATGTCTCCCTGTCGCACCCCGAGGCCAGTTTTCAGGGCGGGCCGGGCGTTTCGCCGGAGACTCCCTCACTACTTGCAGCAGCGGAAGAGAAGGACGTACATGTAGATGAATCCACGCTGGTTTCGAGAGCACTCATTGCGCAAATGTTCGTATAACGCGGCCAGTCTCGCGGATCGGGGGGCCGTGTACATGTACATAGTTGAGCGCGTACGTCCTTTGTGGGTTGCCTGCATTTCTGATTCTGAAGGCTCAAAAGTAGCAACAGCTTCATAGATGGAGGGCGGGTGGTTTTCAAAATGTTGCTCTCGCCTTAGCGCCGCGCACATTCGTAAACATGTGCAAGACTTTGACGGATTGAGGGCGGGTGGTTTTCAAAATGCGGTTCTCGCGTTAGCGCCGCGCACATTCGTAAAAAAATGCAAGAGTTTCACGGATTGAGGGCGGTTCTTTTCAAAATGTGGTTCTTGCCTTCGCGCCGCGCACATTCGTTGATCTGAGTTGCAAGAGTTCCACGGATTCCCCATGATCAACGTACCAGAGATGACGTTTTGGAAGGAGTCTCAGGATTATGCGGGCGCGACAGTTATGTTGATTCGCTGTGTTGAAGTCCCAAAAATCGCGTTTTGGCACGATTCCCGATGGTCAAGACGCGGTAAGGTTGATCCGTGAAATCCCAAGAACAAGTGCATGCTTCAGGATCTTCAAACGGGTGTCTTCCAACGAGGCAGTTCCTTCAATGGAATGAACCGCTGTAGGGACTATGAAGAGGGAGGTTGGAGGGAGGGTTAATTCCGACATCGTTGATGACTTTTGGTCAGTCAGAGCGCCAGATCTTGCAGGATCCTGCAGGGCCAGGGGTGCACCAGCCCAGGCTTAAGTGCAGGATCCTGCAGGCAGGATCCTGCAGGATAGGAGGAGGAGGAGGAGGAGGAGGAGGAGGAGGAGGAGGACTGACCTGGGTCAGAAGATCCCCGGTGGCGGCCCCCTGCGACGCGCCGCCACAGTGGGGGGCGCCGCAAAGGCGGAAACCAGAGCCGCAGCCACGGCCCCGTCGGCCGGGCCCCTGGGCGGCGACCCCGCGGACCCTGAGATCCAGAGCGTTGCATTCAGTTTGTGCTCACCACTGGCCTTTTCGCTCCATTTCGTGCCCCAGGACCCTCGAGGATGGATCCCGCTCGAAGAATGACGCCGAGAGATGGGGTCTGTAGGGTCAGTAAGTCCAGGGCCCGCCAGGGATTGGTTTCTTTTCAAAACGGCCGAAGGCCTCCCGAAACCCTGCGGAAACACTCTGGGGTAGGGTTCCGGAGGAAAAACCGTGCGAAACCTTGCGAACAGCCGAAACCCTCCCGAAAACAGCCGAAACCCTCTGGGGAGGGTTTTAGGAGATTTCGGCAGGGTTTGGGAAGGGTTGTTGGTAATCTTGGGACCTGGGCTTTCTAAGCCTAGGGCTCCGGGCGGACCGCGTGGGCGTGGCTGTGGGCGCCTTCGCCGCTCGCGACCGCTGGGGTGGGTTCTGGATGGACGGTGGACGAGGAGTGTCAGAGCGTGAATTACCTACCCCGCTTTCGCTTCCAGGCAAAACCAAGTCATACCACGCGCCTCCTCATCAAGCGGCCTGACCAGTACAGGCCGTAGTTTGGCATCGCTTGGTATCTCTTGGAAGCGAGGGTGGTCAAAAGCGAGGTAGGTTTGTTTGCCCCCTAGAGTGGCATGACACGACGCAGAGAAGGACGAGCGGGAGAGGGGGGGGCGGGGGAGGAGGATCACTGAGGACGGTGGTGGAGGAGGTGCGCAGCAGAAGGGTAGGGGGACCGAGGAGGTGCAGGGGGAGAACAAAATCTAGGCCTCCCAAACAGGGTCCGAGTAGATGGGGTCGGACGATCGCGCCGCATCGCCGATGCATCGACGATGCGGCTCGATGTGGGGCCAGTGGTTCCCCACGCCGACGTCGCCGATGCGGCGCGATCTTTCGACCCCATCCACTCGGACCCCATCGAGGAGGCCTCCACAACAGGAGGGTGGCGAGGCGGCTCCGGAGGAGGGGTGTCCAGCCGAGCGGCACCGCGCGGCGGCGCCACGAAGCGCGCGGGCGGCCGCCGTGGGAGGGGGGGGGGCTCCTTCGCAGGGCCTGCCTCTCTGGGGCCTCTCTGAGGGGGGGCCTTTGGGAGACTCTGGGCCCTCTGGAGTCTCTGTAGCATGAGTGTCGTCCCTCTCTTTTTTTGTTCCCCCTTTTTTGCCTCCTGTCTCCGCTCGTGCATGCTTCCTCGTTGGTCTATTCACCGCAGCCGTTGGCACGAAACCGGTACCTTCCGAACGAGTGCCCGTGCGCTGATACAACGAGTGCGCAGACTTCTGCTGCGTTGCCTTGAGATTGTCTATTCATCTTGGTTTGTCTTGGTCTTGGGCCACGCTCGAGGGCGGTCTCGGCCCGCCGGAGACCGTGTTGGGGGGCCTCTCGGGGCCGTCTTGGGGCCTCTTTGGGGGGGCGCCGTCATTGAGCCCCACCTCGGAGGCGTTTTTGTTGGGCCGTGCCGGGGGCCCTCCGGGGGCCGTCGCTCTCGCAGGCCTCGGGGGCCCTCGTTGCGGCCCTCGTGCCCCGTCTTCGGGACATGTTGGAGGCCTCTCGCGGGCCGTCGGAGGGGCTCGGAGAGCTCGAGGACGCGGCAACGCCAGAATCTCCCAGATGACTCATGGGCGTCAGCTATTCGAGCCTCCTCGGGCCCCGCTGGCGTACAGTGGAGGCCCATGCCAAGAAGCACCCTGCTTGCCTCCAGGGTGCCCTGGGTTTCTTGGGTTTCGATGGTTCTGCTCTGGAAAGCGTGACGTCCCCACACCAAAAATCGATGGACGGCCTGGGGTTTGGGGGACGGGTGTCCTGTGGAAGGTTTCTGGTGTACTTGCCTCCGCTGGACTCTTGGAGGCCTCTTAGAGGCGTCTCGGGGGCCTCTCGGTCCGCCGTGGGGCCATCGCGGCCGTCTCGGGGGCCAGCTTAGATCCTTGCGGAGGCCACGAATCCAGGGAGAAAAAAAACACCCGGACCCGATCATTGGCGTTTACTAAACGGCCTTGGACGTGTACCAAATAGCCCTGCCCGGTTCGATTCCCTCTGCGGGTGCGTGTCGGGGTGGTTCCTCTGGGGAGGATCTTCTGCTCTCTCATGAAGGACCATTCTGTCCGACGGGAGGCCATCCTGGCTATCTCGGAGGCCACTCGGGGCCATCTCGGGGTGACGGAGAAAGGGTCGGGCGAGGGCACGTGGGGGGGGGGGGGGGCGTTCCATGGAACGCCCCATGGCAGGGACTTTGTCAAACAAGTGAAAGCATGGTGATCGTTTTCGTATTCATTGTTTTGCCGATCGCCGCGGGCCCCAACACCTCCTCCCCCCCCAAGGGAGAAGATCTTGGCTGTTTGTTGGCGCCTGTTTCGAGTGGGTGGAGACTCCCCCATGTGGCGCACTGTTGCAAACAGACGCAGAGGTCCGGAGCCAGACCCCCCCCTATCCCCCCCTTCCGCCCAATGTCGAAACGCCAAATAAGAAAACGCTCACATGTTGGGTTCGATGCGTCATGTGGCCCTAGGCACTAACGATTGAAGAAGCGAAAGAAGCGGAAAATGCACCCGACACACCAACCGCCGCAAGCGCGGCGGCGGACAAGAGGACTCTTCCACGGCGACGAAATCGGCGTCGACGACGAGGACGTTGCCGTCGTTGCTGAAGCCACCGCCGTCGCCGCCGTCGTCTTCGACGCCAACGTCGACGACGAATTCGGCATCGACCACGACGGCATCACCGCCGTTGTCGAAGGCAGTGCCGTCGTCGTTGACGGCAACGTCCACGCCAACGTCAACGCCAAATTCCGCGGCGACGACAATGGCATCACCGCCGTTGCCCAAGCCACCGCCGTCGCTGCCGCCGCCATCGTTGACGACGTCGACGTGGATGGTGGAGCCCCCCTCCGCTCAGTGGTGAAGCCGACACTTTCCTTGAGTGATGCGGCCGATTTCTCAACACATTTGATCGTTCGCGCGGGATGGGCGCTCGAGTTGGTTGCGGCCGAAAGCACGGGCGGTAGTTAGCATGCCATGGTTGGAAAGCTCGAAAGCTACGACGTCATGGCAGTGATTCGAAAGACGCCAAAACTGGCGACTGCGGCGGCGCCGCCGTGCCAGGTATGTGCGGCTCAAGTACGTGCGGCTCCGCTTCGCACCCGGGCCCACGGCGTCGGCGCCCCACGAGCTGCTGTCGCAGGGCAGGGCGCCTCTCGTCGTCGTCTTCGTCGTCTTCGTCTTCGTCGTCGCCGTTGTTGTCTTCGCCGTCGTCGTCTTGGTCGTTGTCGTGGTTGTCGTCGCCGTCGTCCTAGGGGGTGTTCGGATGGTTGTCGGAGGTCGGTCTCGGCGGTCCCTGGAGGTCGCCGAAGAGCGAGAGAGAGAGAGAGAGAGAAAGAGAGATAAAGAGAAAACAAACAAACAAACAAACAAACACAACAACAACAACACGAGAGAGAGAGAGAAGGGGGAGCGAAGAGCGCGGAGCAGCCACATTTCGAACATCGTTCGCCTGCCATCCGCGTGACAGTCGGGACCTCTACGACTAGCGTGAGGGGCGCCAAGGCGAGCTCCACATTTTGAGACCGAGAAGCTGAAGTCGGGCATATCCCTCTACAGGAGGAGATTCCAGAGTATTGAAAGAACAGTTTGGGGACTATTGTTCGTGCTCGTTCTACCGCGGTTTTTGATTATGTTTGCCTATTCTTATTTGCTCTTCCAAAATCTGCCTGTGGGAGAGCATGCCCGACCTGATGTCAGGCGATCGCAAACATGGATCAAGTGGCGTGTCGCGGATTCCCGCCGCCGAGCGAGGCGGCACCGGCCGCATTTAGGGGAGGGCACCTCCCCCGATGCATGGATTTGGCGACCGCGCGCCAGATCCATGGATCGCGAATCCATGGATTTGCACGCCCCCGACGACATCCGCCTGCCAGAGGACATGCCCGACCTCATGCGAAGCTTCCCGATCCCAGGCGGTGAGCATAAGTATCGGGTCAAGTCGGGCCTGTGCCTCCTCTACAGGAGGAATATACCAAAATAGTCAAAAAACAAAAAAACAGTCGGGGGACTATGTTTTGACTATGCTTGAGCATGTTTGGTGCAGGCTTGGGTTCTTGCTTCCAACTGCTTCGCCCAGAATCCCCCAGCAGGGGACGTGCCCGACCGAAGTCTCGAGCGCGAGGCGCCCTCCTGGCGGGACTACTTTTTGACCATGTTTGGTGTATGCTTGGGCTCTTGTTTCCACCTGCTTCGCCCAGAATCCCCCCGGCAGGGGACGTGCCCGACCGAAGCTTCGGGCGCGAGGCGCCCCCTCTGGCAGCCGCCGCGGCACGCCCAGAGGCAGGGCGGCTCGCGACGGAGGCGAGGCCGCTCTCTCGCGCAGGAGGCGATGGAGCGCCGCCGCCCTCGGCTCGCCTCGCACGGCAGGCTCGCCGCCCTCGCTGGCAGCTCCGAATCGGCAACGCGCAAAAGGGGGGCTGCCAGAAGCTGCCTCCTCCTCCTCCTCCTCCTCCTCCTCCTCCACAGGAGGAATATATACCAGAATAGTTTTAAAAAGATAGTCGGGGGACTATGTTTTGACTATGCTTGAGCATGTTTGGTGCAGGCTTGGGTTCTTGCTTCCAGCTGCTTCGCCCAGAATCCCCCGGCAGGGGACGTGCCCGACCGAAGCCTCGGGCGCGAGGCGCCCTCCTGGCGGGACTATTTTTTGATTATGTTTGGTGTATGTTTAGGTTCTGGTTTCCAGCTGCTTCGCCCAGAATCCCCCCGGCAGGGGACGTGCCCGACCGAAGCTTCGGGCGCGAGGCGCCCCCTCTGGCAGCCGCCGCGGCGCGCCCAGAGGCAGGGCGGCGCGCGACCGAGGCGAGGCCGCTCTCTCGCGCAGGAGGCGATGGGGCGCCGCCGCCCTCGGCTCGCCTCGCACGGCAGGCTCGGCGCCCTCGCTGGCAGCTCCGAATCGGCAACGCGCAAAAGGAGGTAGGGGGAGGGGGGAAGGCTTCTCAGAAGCACCCCCTGCTTCTCAGAAGGCGCGGGCCTTCTCTAATTATAGGCGTGAGGCCGAGGCCTTCTGAGAAGCAGGGGCGCTTCCAAGAGGCCTTCCCCCCTCCCCCATAGTTACCCCCTCTTGCGCGCCGCCAGCCGAAGCTCGGGCAGGGGAGGGAAAAAGGCGCCCACGCCGCCCCCCCCTCCAGCGCGCCCTCCCCGCTGGCAGCTCGAGGCGGGGAGGAGAGGTGGCAAGCTCGCCGCCCTCACTGACAATCTTTCGATGAGGGAGAGGGAACAAACACCATAACAGCGACAACAATAACAAGAATAACCACAGCAAAAACAACAAAGTCAACAACAACAGCAGCAACAACAACAACAACACCAACACCAACAACAACAACTGCAGCAGCAACAACAACAACGGTGTAAACATAAACTGTAAACTCTGAGCATGAAACTCAATCTGAGGAGGAGAAGTACCCACACCGCTACCCTTCGCCCGTGTTCCTCATGTTTCGACCCCCTGGGAGGCCGTCGTCGCCACCGTTTGATTCGTCTCGAAGGCTTGGTCGGAACGCACCCCAGGAGGTCCGTGAGGCGACGGTATCGGTACCTTTTGGTTTCCCCACTCACCCTGATCGACGAGTACGGTCGCTACCGATTTTGAAATCGAATTTCAGTATCGGCCGCGACCGATTTGCTTCAACATCGGTCGCGACCGATCGGCCGCGATCGGTGGCGACCCATCGCGACTGACTTGCGGATCGGCCGCGATCGGCCGCGACCGATTTGGAGTGCCGAACGGTCGCTACCGATCGCGACCGAAAAACATCCGTATCCAATGATCTGGGCCGGGAGAAGAGAAGAGAGGTGTAGGGCTCCGGGCACCGTGTCGGAGAAGGCGCCTGCGCTCGCCGCCCTCTGCGGAGGGAGCTCGAGCCAGGCCCACAGAGAGGTCGGCGGGGACGGCGGCGGGCCGCCGCTGCAGCGGCGCGGCGGGGCCTCGCGCGTTTCGCTTCCTGGGCCTCGGCGGGAGGGCGAGGATGCGGGGGAGGAGGGCGAGGATGCGAGGGAGGAGCATGAGAGAGGAGAGGAGAGGAGAGGAGAGGAGAGGAGAGGAGAGGAGTGGAGAGGCGAGGAGAGGATCAGAGGAGAGGAGAGGAGACGAGCAATAGGCGGGCGACCACGCGCGCCTGGCGCCGGCCCCCCCACAGGCGCTCCCCGAGGGCCCGGAGGGCTACGACGAGCCAGAGGCACACCTTCGCCGCCGTCCTCCCGCACGCGTCATCCCCCTCGACGGGGGAAGGGGCCACCGACCGATATCGGGGGGGCCTCGTCAACCGCCTTCCCTCCCTCCCCCCTCTTTCCCTCCCTCCCTCCCTCCCTCCCTCCCTTCTTTCCGCCCTCCTCCGCCCGCCTCCTTCGCTCCCACCCCCCCTCCCTCCTTCCTCCGTCCTGGTTCCCTTGCCCTCCTCCTCCCGTCTCCCCTTGCCCGAGTGCGGCGCAGTGCCCAAGCAGAGGTTCGACGACGATCTCTCTTCCTCTCCCCGGGGGGAGGGGCGGGGGCCGCCGGCGGAAGGCGGGAGCGAATGCTCGGACAACGGGCAGCGCCCCGCGAATTTCTTGATCCCTTTTTCCTGCACCAGGCTTCGGGGTACCTTCTGTTGAAGATCAGGTTGCCACATCCACCTACCTCCTTTCCCGACGCCGCTTTCTGCTACAATCCCTCCCGATGCTAGGACGGGGGGAGGGCTTAGCCTCTTTCGACTTGCCCGCAGCAGGGCACGACCGTTCGTGGTGAAAAATCTTATCACATCGACACCTTCGTTTGCGTGGTAATTCGCGCCAGGCGAATGGTGCTTTCCTGGCCACAGAGCTTTCCCCAGCACGTATACATATATTAGAAAGAGCGTGTTCTACCGCTGCTGGCGGAAAACCGGGGGGGGTCACTACCGGTTCGAACCCCTCCCCCCCCCCCTCCGGAAAACCGGGGGGGGTCACTACCGGTTCGAACCCCTCCCCCCCCCCCCCAGCTCATCATGAAAAGGGGGGGGGGTCACTACCGGTTCGAACCCCCCCCCCCCCCCCCCCCCTCCGGATCCGGAAAACCGGGGGGGTCACTACCGGTTCGAATCCCCCCCCCCCTCGAAAACCGAGTGGGGGTGCGGACAGTGGTGGGGACGGTGTTGGTGGGGACAGTGGTGAGGGGATAGCGGGACAGTGGTGGGGACAGTGGGACAGTGGGACAGTGGTGGGGACGGTAGTGGTGGGGACAGTGGTGGGGACAATGGTGGGAACAGGGGGGGACAGTGGACAGTGGTGGTGACGGTGGTGGTGGGGACAGTGGTGTGGGGACAATGGGAATGAGGTGGAAACAGTGGGACAGTGGAGGGTACAATGGTGGTGGGGACAGTGGTGAAGGCGGTGGCGAGGACGGCGGTGGGACAATGGGACAGAGGTACAGTGGGGACAGTGGTGGGGACAGTGGGGACAGTGGTGGGAACAGTGGGACAGCTCAGTGGGACAGCGGAGGAGTCAGTGGGACAGTGGGGACAGTAGGGATAGTCGGGCAGTGGTTGGGGCCGTGGAGACAGTGGGGAGAGTGGAACCGTGGTGGGAACAGTTCTGGGGACAGCGGGGACAGTGCGACAGTGGTGGGGCCACTGGTGGGGACAGTAGGGGCGGTGGTGGAACCAGTGGGGACAGCGGTGGTGAGGACAGTGGTGCTGGGAACACCAGTGGGGGATGTGATGCGGACGGTGGTGGGGACCGGGAGTCGTTTGCTGGCGGTGAGTAGGGGGGGGGGGGAAAGGGGAAGGGGGGGTGCGAACCGGTAGTGGCCCCCTCCAGTTTTCCGGATCCGGAGGGTAGGGGGGGGGGGGGAGGGTTTCGAACCGGTAGTGACCCCCCCCGGTTTTCGAGCGGGAGGGGGGGGGGGGGGGAGGGTTAGGGGAGGGGGGGTTTTGCCGGGGGGTGGGGGGGGGGGGGGGAGGGGTTCCAGCAGGGGGGGGGGATTTTCGGAGGGGGGGGGGGGGGCGACCCCCGGGTTCCGGAGGAAAAGGTTGGCAATTTTCCACAGTAAAGCGGCGGTGGATCACGCTCTCTCATATATTAGGTTTCGGTGGGGCAAGGCGTGCATGCATGCGCTGGGTTGGCTGGCGTATCCGTCTACCGGGCGGCAGCCGTTATGGAACGATTTGCTGGCAGGCTGCTCCTTGTCACGGCGCTCCGGGTCACCCATGGTGAAGGAACACGAAATGGGAACACACAGGGTTTTTGGTGGCTCCTGCGGCCGCAGGGAAAAATCAGGGCGTGGCGTCGGAGCCTAAGATCAAGAGTTTGTGATTAGCGTGTCGGCTGCCAGGTCTGGTCAACCACGTTTCGGAGCCCCGCTTGGCCACGCCCCAGTCCCCAAGCACCAATGTTCCAAGGTTTGCGAAGCGCTCCGCGTTCCAAGGTTTGCGAAGCGTTCCGCCCCACGGAGCGGAGCGACACGCTATCCAGTCGCAGGGCATAGCGCGTCGCCGAGGCCGCCGCCGCGACGCGCGAAGCAAAAGTTCCCGACCGTAGTTCGTCAGTGGCCCAGTCTTCGGTCGGGACTACGACATGGATAAATCGTTTCGGAGCGTTCCAGGACGCTCCCGGAGCGTTGCGGAACGATCTGGGAGCGTCCGCAATCACCACCCGATACACCACCCAGAACCGCCCGATCTCAGAGCTTCCTGGTTTAACCTTGTCCGATGTTGTCCCTGTCTTTTCTTCGTCTGAACTCTTGCACCCACATGTTCTTCTTACCCTTTGCTACTGGTCCTCCTCTTCCTCCTCTTCATCATCATCATCCTCATCGTCCCGCCTGCACGTCCTCCTGCGCCTCGTCCTCCAGTTGCTGCTCCTCCCCCCTCTTGATCACGTGTTGCTGCTCATTTTCCTCTCCACACCACCTCTTTTTGATGTTGCTCGGAGTATGGTTGGCCGGAACCGCAGCGTCTGTGCGGCAACACACGTAAGGATGAACACAGGGACGAGGAGGAGGTGGGGGGACGAGGAGGAGCAACTGGAGGACGAGGAGCATCAAGGTGATGAGGAAAGGAGGGAAACGAGGAGGAGGAGAAGGAGGAGGAGGAGGACGAGGAGGGGGAGGGGGAGGGGGAGGAGGAGGACGGGTAGGCTGAGGAGGAAGAGGAGGAGGAGGAGGAGGAGGAGGACGAGGAGGAAGGGAAGGAGGAGGAGGAGCAGGAGGGGAAGGAGGAGGCGGAGGAGGAGGAGGAAGAGAAAGCGAAAGAGAAGGAGGATGTGGAGGGGGACGAGGAGGAGGAGTAGTAGGAGGAGAGGCGGGAGGAGGAGGAGGAGGAGGAGGAGGAGGAGGAGGAGGAGGAGCAGGGTGAGGAGGAGGACGAGGAGGAGGAAGGCAGCTTTCTCCATCCGCCCCTTCGTCCCCTGATGCTCCTCGCTCCTCGTTTTCCTGCTGTTCCTGCCCCTCTTCTCCCACATCGTCATCCTACGTGTTCCTCCTCCCTCCCCCACCGCTTCCCGCGTGCCATCGTCGTCCTCGCTTCTCGGTGTTCGTCGTCGTCGTCGTTGTCGTCGTCGTCGTCGCGCGCGAAGCGCGGGGCAGGCCCAGCCCTCGGACGACGAGGAGGAGACGGGCGCGGGTCTTTCGCGCGGGCCGGGCTTTCTGGTGGGAAGGCGGAGGGGAGGAGGGCGTCGGGGGGAGGGGGCGAGAGAGGGTGCTGGCCTTCGGGGCCCGACGCGCGCGAGCTGGGGCAGGCAGTGATCATCCTTAGCCTTGTCCTCTGGCCGCCCCCACGACGGAGTGGTTCCCTCCTTGTGTGCCACGGAATGCCGCTCCTTGAGCCATTCCGGGAGGAAGGGGAGGAGGAGGAGGAGGAGGAGGAGGAGGAGGAGGAGGAGGCGGCGGAGGAAGGAAGAGGAGGAGGCGGAGGCGGAGGCGGAGGAAGGAAGAGGAAGAGGAGGAGGAGGAGGAAAACGAGGCAGAGCAGGAGGAGGAGGAGGAGGCGGACAAAGAAGAGGAGCAGAAGAGGGAATGGGTGGGGTGGAGGAGAAAAATGAGGAGGAGGAGGAACAAGGAAAACGGGAGGGGGAGAAGCGGAAGTTGATAGACTTCCTACCCTGACACGTCGATTATTGAATTTGCCGTTTTCGGTTCGCGAGAGGGCGTCGCGGCCGTTATTTTTGCGGGTCCAGTTCCGTCGGTTTCGGCCCTAGGCCGTTTTCACTCAAGGGTGGTTTGCTAACAGGAGGTTCTGTCCACCGCTGAGACAATGAGAGGGTGGAAGAGGATGAGAGGAGGACGGGGGAGGGGCATGGGGGCGGCCTGGAGAAGAATCGCAGGCAGAGGCAGGAGCAAGGGCCGCTCAGGGCACGCAGCTCGACCGCCCTCGACGGGTGCGCTGCCTTGGCCTGCGGCAGGAGCAGCACCCCACTAGAGCCACGGCCTGTGGCAAGCGGACTTCCTCGTTTTCCTCGGTACGCTTCGCGTCGCCTGGGTGGTCCTCGGTGTGGTGTAAAGCGGAAATCTACCTTTCCTGGTTTTCGGACCCCAGGATGTTCTTCCGATCCGAGCGCCGCCGACGCCCCTCGTCGTGCCTCCGACTCGCCGCCGATCGCCCCCCCCCCCCCGACTGCGTGCGCCGCGCCCGTGCCGCCGCCGGCCCAGGACGTGCCTCCGCCAGCGGCCCCGCCGGAGGCTGGCGTGGGGAGGGGGGCGAGCGCGCCGCCGCCGCGCGGGGAGGGGGAAGAGGAGGAGGAGGAGGCGGAGGAGGAGGAGGAGGAGGAGGAGAGTGGCAAAGGGGGGGGAGGCAGAGGAGGCACGGGGGAGGACGCTAGTTGGGCAACAGTGGAGAGGGAGGGAGCTTGAGGAGGAGTGGGAGGAGGAGGATGAGGAGGAGGAGGGTGGTAGCGGCGGATCTGCTGAGGTGAGGTGGGGATGGGGGAAGGAAAGAAGGTGCAGCACGGAGACGTGGTGATAACGTGAAGAAGCAGAAGACGAAGGAGAGGCTGGAGGGAGGAGGAGGAGGAGGAGGAGGAGGAGGAGGAGGAGGAGGAGGAAGGAGGTAGGAGGAGGGTAGGAGGAGGAGGGTGGGAGGAGGGTAGGAGGAGGAGGGTGTGGAGGGAGCGGCGGGTGGGGGAGGAGGGGAGGGGGAGGAGGAGGAGGGGGAGGAGGAGGAGGAGGAGGAGGAGGAGGAGGAGGAGGAGGAGGAGGAGGAGGAGGAGGAGAGGACGACGACAACGACGACGACGACGAGGACGAGGAGGAGGAGGACGAGGAGGAGGGGGAGGAGGAGGGGGAGGAGGAGGGAGGGGGAGGCGGAGACGAATAGCAAGCAGGAAAAGAGGGATGAGGGCGAGGAGGGGAGAGAACGCGGAGGATAATGATGCTAAAGGCGAGGGTGGGTGGGTGGCCTGTGTGTGTTGGGCGGGGAAGGAGACGGGAATAGGAGCTGATCGAGACAGGGGGAGGGGACTGGGCTGACGACAACGTCCGCGTTTGCGCCCTGTAGAGATGGCACCGACGACGATACCGATTATGATCGAGCCTTCAAGAGCGCCAGCGCCAGGCATACGAGGCTTGTAGTATCGAAGACGCCTACGGCGACTCACTGCCGACCCTTGCCTTTTGAAATCGCCCATGTGGTCGAGCGTTGTGGCAAGAGCTCTCCCAAGCTATCGGACCATGTGTTCCCCAAACCTTTGTGGAAACCTTTCGGGGAACATTTGGGGGTGGAGGAGGAGGAGGAGGAGGAGGAGGAGGAGGAGGAGGAGGAGGAGGAGGAGAGGAGGAGGAGGAGGAGGAGGAGGAGGCATCTTGGGAGCCACTTGGGGCACTCTTGGGGCCTCCTGGGAGCTTCCCGGGAGCCTCTTGGAGGCATCTTGGGGTCATCCTTGGGTTTCTTGGCCGACTCTCTGGGCCGACTTGGCGGCCTCTCTGGGCCGACTTGAAACCCTCTTGGGGTGATCTAGGGCCGTCTTGGAGGCCATCTTGGGCGTCTCGAAGGCCTCTTGGGCCGTCTGGGGGCCCTCTTTGGGCCATCTTGGGGGCCTCTTGGGTCGTTCTGGGGCAATCCTGGAGGCCTCTAGGGCGATCTTTCGGGGCTCTTGGGCCGTCTCGGGCCGTCGGAAGGCCGAAAAGAAGCCAATGCCAAAATCCGTTCAAAACCTAAGGACAATCAATGGTGTTGGCCTCTTCGGGCCTTCCTGGAGGTTCTCTTGGAGGCCTCTTGGAGACCTCTTGGAGACCTCTTGGGGGCCTCTTGGGCCGTCTTGGGCCATCTTAGAGCCATTTTGGGCCGTCTTGGTGGGCTCCTAGCCCGTCTGACGCCGGCGGATGCTGTCTTGAGGGCCAGTGCGGGCCGACTGGGAGCCCTCTTGGGGTGCTCCAGTGCCGTCTTGGAGGCCATCTTGGGCGTCTTTGAGGCATCTTGGGCCATCTTGGAGCCCTCCTGGGGCGATCTTGGGGGCCTCTTGGGTCGTTCTGGGGCCATCTTGGAAGCATATTGAGCGATCTTGGGCCGATTGTTGGGGGCTCTTGGGCCGTCTCGGGCCGTCGGAAGGCCGAAAAGAAACAATTGTCAAAATCCTTTGAAACCTAAGGATTATCGATGATTTTGGCATCTTCGGGCCTTCCCGGAAGTCCTCTTGGAGGCCTTTTGGGCCGTCCTGGAGGGGCCATCTTGTTCTCTTAGAGACCATCTTGAGCCGTCTTAGGGGGGGGAGTCTGCCGGACATGGAGGTCGTCACCGCGCCTTCCGCGGGGCTGGCGCGCTGGGCCGAAGTTCCAGGCAGAGTGCGTTGGGAGAAAAAAACAAAACATAGACCGTAGGATCTAGCACGCCGAGCACCCCTGTGGCAAGCCAGCAGGGGGCGGCGGATCGAGTGGCCACCGTGCCTGGGTTGTGGGCCACAGGCCTCTAGGATGTTCGTTGGGAAGTCGCGGGATGCCTCTCGGGGGCCTCTTGGGCTGATTTGAGGCCTCTGGGGCCGTGTTGGCCCCGCGGCGACGAGGACAAGAAACTATTGCCCGACGCCCCGACAAGGAAGTGGCGCCAGCCAGAGCACCCGCACGGCCTCTACGCGAGGACACCAAAGGACAACCTCGGAGCCGAGGCACACACACCGTCTGCACGATGGACGGCGCGCACGGTGCGCCGATGCTTGACGCAGGGCCACTTGCAGGAGACGCCCCTTCGGAGCAAGGGTCACTGGCATCACGGGCCATACTCCAGATATCGTGATAAAAGGGAGGGGGTCACAACCCTCCCAGACGAGAAGTTTTAGATCCCCCGAGACCATCCATGAAAGGGCGGCCCTTTGCCCAGACCCCCTCCAAAAACTCCAAGACAGCTCGAATCAGACCCCCCCCCACACATGTGACCCACCCCCCTTTATTACGAAATCTGGAGTACCCTCAGCAGCCGACGCGGCCGCCATGCCAGCCGAGACCGTTGCCGCCAGCACGGGCGCTCTGACGCGCAACGGCCCGTGGGCGGCGGCGGCCACGCTCCGGTCGGGCCTGCGGGATGCCGCGGTGCCAGCGCCAGGGGGGCCACCTGTCTCGCTACGACCACCGAGCCAGACCATCGGGCGCAAAGCTTTTCTTTGGTCCTACATGGTTTTAACGGGGGTCGTGTTGACGGACCAAGTGTTAGAACCGAGTTGACGGACCCCTGGGTGGCCCAAAGATAGAGGAGGCCCATCTCTGACCCCCAGCGACACCCAAACTGTCGAGCCCCTTGCCGTGTCGGACGGCGGATCTATACCAGCAGCGCCCTATGCGACGCCGCCGATGATCATGGGCACGAGGGCCGACGAGTGGCGTCAGCGCGTGGCTGTTGTCAACCAGCAGCCTGGACTGGCTGCGACGATTCGGGCGACCACGAGATCCGCCACGCCACGACACGGCAGTTGAGCCAGGCCGTTGGCAGCCCACCAGCGGGCCCGAGCGCAGACGACCGGGCACTCCCCGGCCACGGGCTGCACAGTTCCATCATTGGGAACCCCCAAACAGGGTGGTGAGATACCAGGTGGTGACCTGGAATCCCCAAAAAGATCACCGCTGGGTTTGGGGACGCGGGGTAACCACCGGGTTTTGTGACTCCTGGACCCCACCAGTGTCCGGGACATCTTCGGAAAACCGCACGAGTCCCCAAACCGGGTGGTGACACCAAATCGCCCGAGACTCACCGCCAGGTGTTGTCACCACCACGTTTGGGGATTACCAACATCATGGAGCAGCGGCGACACCGCTGGCAGCAGCAGCCGAACGCCGTCAACGAGATGAGTCTGCTGGGGCTGCCTGTCACGGATCGGAAAAACTTGGTACCGCCTGAGGAGCGGTTCCTTGCAATGCACTCCGACGGACAGCCGTTCCTGTCCACCTTCGCCGCACACCACGCACCAAGATTACCTACAAACGCCGCCGCTTGCACTACCTACCACCAATGGACTTCCCTGTGTTTCCAATGTTTTTTTGCCAAGCACGATAAACATCCCCATGGTCGGCGAGAACATCAGCACCAGGTACACCAAAAAACCGGCGGACGAAATGTTTCGTCTCCAATGTGCGGGTACAGGGCGCACACGACCGACCGCAGATGGCGCCATAGCCTCCACCTACAGACTCCGACATGATCGTTGCCCCCAACCGGGGAGGCGCTGTCAAGCGCACTGGGGCCACTCCCGCCGCACTTGCAGGAGACGCACAACATGACGCGGGCCCAGATGCAGGCGCAGGCCGACCTACGTAGGGTGCAACAACCACGCATGAGCCGGCGGTTTCAACTCTAACGAAAAGCCGGTTCCCAACGGGACAACGGCTCCGACTTGCCGACTTGCCTGACGAGGCGACTCTCCCGCGCCAGCAGCGCACCAGGCGAGGCACGGAGGCTTCGTTGGTAATGGATACCGCATACACGCAATGCGACGTATGTCTGGAGCTTTTCCAGATCAGGGACGTGCTGTGGAGGCTGCAGTGTGGACACAAGTTCCACTTACATGCTGGGACCGAGCTCTGCGATCACACGTGGGCGACAACATGAGTGGTGCGCAAACTGACGCATCGCGTGCGGCATGCCGCGGGGCGGGCATCGTCATTGTGCCCCATATGCAGCCCACTGCGACGCCGAGGCTGCCGACGACACATGCATCGGCAATGCGACCGAGGTACATGATCTACGCGAACAGGTCGCGGCGCTTACAGTGCTCCTCCAGACACCGAGTCAGGCCATTGGAATCTGCGGGGGCGGGGCCACCATGCCCGCCACCATGCCCCGCTTGCGTCCAGCGGCACAGGTGTGGACAGCCCCGCAGTGTGGGACAGCGACCCCAATTTTGTTATTGCCAGCACCGACTGCGCGCAACGAGGGGCCATTCATCCAGCACGCAGGGGCAACTGCTGCTACTACCAATGTGGGCCCCCCTGCGACGCCTCCGAATTCCTTTTGCCGATCCGCTGTTGGACAAACCTGAACAGGCGCAGCGGGCCCGGGCGGGAGGCAGACCCCACGGGCGGCCGCGCTCAACGGCGCCGAGGCCACGCGGGGACGCATGTTGAGGGCATTCATGCTCGACCGCCCACTGCGCATCAACGGCGCGGGTTCTGGCGCTGCGGCACGCCAAGCCGGCGCCGCGTTCCACGGCGCGCGCAAGCGCGACGGGGCCGACGCCCCAGCGACCCAGACGGGCCACTTTCCGGCGAACTTCGCGGAGGGGTCGGGCGAAAATTTGTTTGCCATCTTGGGGCCCACCTCGGCCCAGGACAATCGCGCCTCCATTGCAACCTGCAGCCCAGCCCGGCAAGGTGGCGAAGGTCATGCGCCTCGAGGAGATGCCCTCGGGACATTGGGCCACCCCTTCCAGTGATTTCGCCGGGTCGGCATCACATGCGTCGGACGGCGACTCGGCAATTCAGGCCTTTGCGATCAACGGCCAGCTGCAGGAGATGAACGGGGAGCAGGGCGCCAGCGTGGACACGTGCATCGACGACTACCCAGCGGGGCGCGAAGATCTTTACAGCCGTCGTCATGGCGCGGGGCCGCCGGTTCGACAGAAGGCACCCGCAGTCCGAGAGGGCGCGGAAGCTCCTGACGCGCGTCTACGACGCAGCGTGCGAGGCGGCCGCAAAGCGGGAGCCGGACGAGACAGAGGACACCCCTCACGCGCTGCGTTCAGACGAGCGGGCCTCGCTGCGCCCGGATGGCGGCCCAACAGCGGGGTCACCCGTCGCGATGCACATTGGGACTTGCGATGCCGACGACTTCCAGCCGAACGCGGCCAGCTACGGCGACGGCAACGGCCGCCCAATCATCCCTACCGCTACGTAGAGCAGCGACTGCAGCTCACCCGCAACGAGGGATTGGCCGAGGCGTCGCCGAGCCACCGCGACGCACGAGAAAAAATCAATGGCGGGGGCCCTCCGCCGCGGCCAGGCCAGGGCCATTGACGCGCCGCCCTGCTGCGATCGGCCGCCCGCGGGCCCGCGGGGCTCCAGCGCGGCCGCGCGCGCCACTGACCGACAACAGCTTTGCGGGAATCTCCCGCCATCGAAGGTATACGCGCGGCTCTGCCGAATTTCGACATAGAGGCGACTTACGCCATTGGAATCACACGCAATTTGGTTATTGCGTCGACCGAGGCCCATTCCATAGGAATCTGTTCAGCGGGTGGCGATCGATACTTCGGTGGGCACACCCAGCGACTGGCACGCGCGCGCTACGCAAGCTGACAGGGCCACATTACGATCGCACACGGAATCTCATCACTAAGGAGCGCGCTCTGCGGATGCTGGCTGTGATGATGGGTCCACCAAGGTCTTTCTGGAAGATGGGCCTCGCTGGGGATGCCATCCAGGACCTGAGGTTCCGCCGCGTCCGAATGCGCCCATGCAAGTGTGGAACTACGCACGATCGAACATCCAAATCACCCGGCGGCCCACACCTACGCAAAGTCAAAACTTGCCCTAGGATACCGACTACACGACGCCCGTGCATGTCAAATGCCGAGCAGTCGTTCGATTGGCATGGGAGGAGCAAAGACGCGCCGCATGGAAACATCAGGCAAGGGCTACACAAGGGCTATACTGATAACAGACATTCTGGAACACATGGACAAATCTAAGAAACCACAGGATGACGGCACGGAAACACACCAGAGTGCATTCATTTTTACCAGCAAGGACGCTTGGGCATACGTCCAGATGCCGCCCGACGGTCCTTAGCGGGGCGAAGTCGCACGCAGGGGGGCCATTGACCCGGACGCCAAAACGGTCACCCAAGACTTGCACGTCAAGGACCAACCGTCTGGAGCCAGGAATGCCAGCGTTGGGATTCCGCGGCAACTGCCATGCTCGGCCACGAGCGGCCAGCGGAGCTGCAGCGCCAGAACCAACGAGCGATGTTCATCGCAGATGATCGATCTCCTCTGTCCCCGACTTGGCTTGGGCCAAGAACCCGACGGCGAGGGGCGGTCCATTGCGCCGCCGCTTCCGACCCCCAGGAAACTGCAGTATTTGCGGATGCCCGGCTGAAACAGGCAGAATGAAACCCAATATCGTAGAAGTCGGCAGCGACGACTGCGGCGAAGACCACGCGTCTAAATTGCGCCACATACCTCGCTGACGTTTCGATACAAGAGCTTGCGGAGGGATCGACGCTACCGCCGCCTGCGGACGTGCGCGCAGACGTTCTCGAGATCAGACCTACTCTATACGACGGACATGCCAGCGTTGGCGACACATTGGAATTATGTCGGGGGGGCTTGGCGGGGTCTCCCAGCTAACCTTCCAAAGGAAGCTGCCATCTGGAGGCAACGTGTACAAACGCGCCAACGTGGACCGCGAACCCGCAGGTCCAACATGTGGTGATTGATTACCTCTACACGTGCCAGGTTGTTATAGCCATCGCACAACCGAACTGCAGATGCATTGGGCGGCCGTCAGACTTCAACGCTAATGTCACCCACGAGACGTGGCGCGCCCGCCACCAAGATCACCTGCCGCGTATCACTTTCTGTGGTATGGTAGCTGTCCAAAAAGACGATCCCCGACGGTTCTTTCTTCGCGAACAGCAATCGGGCATTTGGGCAGATGATCGAGCCGGAGCAGAGCCTGGCAAAGCGCAAGGTCACTTGCCGACAGATCATGGACCATCGCTCCACCAGCCGCGGCCGGCAAGGCAGCCCAACGCGCGCCCGCGATGCAATCGCTAGACGAAGACGCGGTCACGACTGCCGAGGAACTGCACGCCTGCGGTCGCAGCCCCGTCGTCGACCGCGCCGCCGCCGCCTTCGCGGTCAACGGCGCGCGATGCGACTTAGATGATTTAAGAACTCGCGCCAATCCAACGGCGCTATCGCACTGCCACAAGGCGGGGGCCTTGCATGTCCTGCTTGCGCGGCCAACGCGCAGATGAACTCACCTCGACACGGTTGCGCTGCCAGGACCTTAAGATGGCACGACAAAGCACCACACGAATGGGAATGTCCTGGATGTGAGAATGGCTACGGCAGCAACGAGTCTGCAAATTATCTGATCCGGAGCAAAGCAATCTGCGATTCACGTCGCGACAGCAGACCTTCGGGAAAACTTGGCAACGCAGTCATGACATCCGCCAGTCGCCCAAGCCACTTCAGCGAAGAAGCCGAAAGAGATTTGATGTAATACAAAAGGGCCATTGCATTGCACCTCAGCAAAGGCTTAGGTCGATGCGCAGCTGGACAGCAGGTACCTGGCACAACCACTGTCGGATGCAACGCGGACTTGCCGAAGCCTTGCAATCAGATGGTGGCTGGGGTCTCGAGCATCGAAGCATCCACGGCCGTCCTTCAACCAAAGGGTACTGAGCTCAGCATGCGAGCGCGTGGCCATGACGCCATTACCATTTGAGAAACGGCATTCTTCGACGCACGTTTCACGTCGCGGAGAAGGAACTCAAGGCACACAACATATCTCATGAGCTCACGCCGCTACGCCACGGAGCCAGACTGCTGAGCAGCGCGCCCACGTTCTACAACGATGTACCGGCTTGCCAGAATCTTCACGGACGACGGTTTGCATGCCTCCAGGATTTTCCCACTATTGACCACGAACACTGTCACGAAACCTCAGGTCACAACCGCGAACAATTGACCGGGAGATCAGCACTGAGGCTACGCAAGCCATATGCAGCAGCTAAACCTAACCGTGCTTCACGCACGAAGGCTACATTTCGTAGCCAACATGTATATCAGCCAGGGGACCTGGTGGACCACATCCGACCGACTACAATGGATGACGACAGGGGACGTTGGAACGGACCATGCTGAGCAGCAAGGAGTGACCCCGAACGGAGCCAAAATGCGGTTCATGTCGGGGGAAACGCAGTCCTGGTTATTACTCAGACGCACGAAACACGCGATATGTGCATGTGCTTATCGTCCGCGAGATCGGCTCCAATAGTTCGGCCGCGCGTATTGTAAACGTTTTTTAATCGCAGTTCCACTGGCGGGGAAATATGCAATGATTGTTTGGCTATACGCGAACAATGCAGCGGTATGGAGGAGGAACAGCATGTCGTCGTTGTCTTACTCCTTGTTTTGCCGATCGGCGCGGGCCCGCGCACCCACCCCCCCCCCTTCCCCCTTATGGAGTAGATATTCGCTGTTTGGGGCGCTTGTTTCGAGCAGGCGGAGCCTTCCCCCCCCGAGGACGCACTGTGGCAAACAGTCGCATTAAGCAGGGGTCTGGAGCCAGACCCCCGCCCCCCTCCCCCCCCCTTTTTCCGCCCAATGTCGAAACGCCGAATGAGGAAACGCCCACCAGCAGCATGGAAGAGCATGGAGGAGTTGCTCCCAGGCGCGGCCCTTCGGCCCGCCCGGCGCCAAGAGCCAGGACGGGCCGCGTGACGCCGCCGCCGCGCGGGGGGGTCGGCACCCTCCTGCCGCTCTCTGGGAAGGGGGAGGAGGAGGAGGAGGAGGAGGAGGAGGCCGAGGAAGAGGAGGAGGAGGAAAAGGAAAAGGAGGAGGAGGAGGAGGAGGAGGAAAAGGAGAAGGAGGAGGATGAGGCGGAGAAGGAGGAGGAGGAGCCAGAGCCGAAGCCGGAGGAGGATCGGGAGGAGGAGGACGAGGAGAAGGAAGAGCTGAGGGTTTCAATGCCACAGCTGGTTTCTCGTCCTGTGTACTGTTTTTCGCCTTCGATGTCCCATCGTGCACGCGCTGGCTGTACAACTTCGAGGTTGATCAAGCGCTGCGTTCCGATCAGGTTGTTCTCGGGACGCGGCCATCAAGACGCGACAATTCACGCAAGCCAACGTTTGTTCAATGCAAAACGGGACCTTGAGGATAAGTAATGGTCCGCAGCTCGTGGGAACCCTTTTTTATGAAACAATCATAGTTTGGCACACGATGCACTCCTGTGGCAAAACGAATAACAACGTGTAGGTCCAGCCCTGCCATGCACCCTTGTGCCAAGATCGATGACGCCCACGGCAAATCACCGCCGACCCCTGTCTTTCGGAAACGCCCATGCGGCCAAACGTTGGGCCGAAGTCTTGCCAAGCTATTGGGCTGTATGTTTCCCCAGCCGGTGTGGAACCCAATTTGGGGATTCCTTGTGAGAGGAAGCGACAGGAGGAGGAGAGGGAGGCAAGGTACGGCAAGGGCGTTCGGGGGTCTCAAGTCCTACAGACTAGGAGCAACAACTTGACCCCGGCGTGATACAGCGGGGGCCCATGCCAAGAAACACCTTGCTTGCCTCCAGGGTGCCCTGGGTTTCTTGGGTTTCGGTGGTTTTACCACGGAAGGCGCGACGCTCCCACGCCAAACATCAGAGGACGCCCTGGGGTCTCAGGGTCGGGTTTCTTGTGGGAGGTCTCTTGTGGACTGACCTCCGCTGTAGAATGTGGATGCAGGACCCGCGCTACATACAGCGTCAGGCTTGAATAAGGAACATTTACTTTTCAAAAGGGGCTCGGTCGTTCCTTGGGTTTGCATGCGTTCCACTACCTTCTTGGCGGCGAGCCCCCCTGGTGTTCCCTCGGACTTCGTGGGCTCACTTTGAACAAAAAGGGGCTTCTTTCCTTGCTCATCGTTCCTTGGGTCGAATACTGTATGAGGGCCTGCCTGCCTGGGGCGCTGGGCCAAGCAGCCTGGCCGCCGAGGCGTTTGCGGAGGGGCACTCCGACGCGCAAGCCCGCGTCACACGAGAAGGCGGGGACATTCCTCCTCCTCCTCCTCCTCCTCCTCCTCCTCCTCCTCCTCTTCCTCCTCCTCCTCCTCTTCCTCCTCCTCCTCCTTCGGGGCCTGTTGCCCGCAGGGATGGGGCAGCAGGCCCCCGACGGGGCGCACCCCCTCCCGAGACCCGTGCAACAGGGACAGAAGTTCACAAGATGCTCAAGTCGGGCGTGTCCCTCTATATGAGAAATATTCAGAAATAGTCCAAAAATAATCAGGAGACGATGTTATGACTGTGTTTGATTATGCTTGAGCATGTGTTGATTATTCTTTTCGTCCAGAATTCGCCGATAGGGGGACACGCCCGACCTAACACTACTTACATTCAGCTACCTGCTCACTCCACTTCCTGAGCGTCGAGGTGCTTGTCACAGCAGGCTGTCAAACATCCACCCCTAACCCTGGCCATTCCACCACTGTCATTGTTGTCAGGTCGGTAGCAGCAGCGAGTCGTTGCGGGGCTGCCCATCTTCTCCGCTCCGTAGGTGGTGATGGGTACACGACCCTGCCTCTTGTTTCCTGACGGTGGCGGCCGCGGCAACCTGCGTTCTCCGTTCCATGCGAGTAAGCGGATACGCTACCGTCCCTTCTCTCTGTCACGGCAGCAACACAGCCAAGGCGTCCTGCGTTCAGGAGAAGGGGGAGACGGAAGACGAGGCGGAGGAGGAGGAGGAGGAGGAAAGAAAAGGAGCCTGTTGAGGTCGTCTTGGGGCCTTTTGGGGGCCTATTGGGGAGCCTCTAAGGGGCATCTTGGCCTTTGGAAGCCGTATTGGGGGCCTCTATGGGCAGTCCTCTTTGGGCGCTTCAGGGCCGCATTGGAGGTATATGGGGCCGTCTTCGGGAGCATCTTGGGGCCGTGTTGGGGCTTTGTTGGCCCGTCTTTCTTGTGGGCATTTTTCAGGACATATGACAGTCTGGGGGCGATGTTTGCATTTGGAGGTCGTCTTGGAGCCCTCTTTGCGTGTCTTGGGGTCCTCTTTGGCCATCTTGGGGGCACCTCATTTCCGCGCTTCCGCTCGTTCCGAATCGTGCTCCCGTTGCAGCGCTGGCGTCATTTCCAATGCTAGGTTGCGTTCCGCTGCGCGATGCCATGCCTTCAGCTGAAGCTGTGATATGCAGTGCTTAAGTGCCACGTCGTGCTATGCCATGCTACGCTTTGATCTTCAACGCCATGCTATGCAATGTTCTGTTCGGGGCCGCTGTGCAATGCCATGCTTTGCGTTGCAAAGCTTTGTGATGCAATTCTTCACTACGCCACGCCACGCCATGCTGTGACATACTACGGTCAGATATGACGCGAGCGCACCTAGCTTGCCTCCCCCCCTCCCTCTGTCCCCTCCCTCTGTCCCCTCCCCCTCAGCCTATCCCCCCTAATGCTGCCCCTGACCCTATCCCCCCCTCACGTTGCAGCAGTGACGGCGGCGCGGATGACGACGACGATGACGGCAACGACGGCGAGGCGCCACGCCGCCCACCGCGCCGGCTCCCGCCCCGCGCGCGCCGAGGAGGGGCCCTCCGCCACGGCGCAGCTGGGCGAGGCCCTGCCCCCCGCGGCCTGCCGGGGTGCGTGTCGGGGCCGCCCTCTCCTCTCGCGAGGGCCAGGGTTAAGTCGGGCCTGTCCCCCTACAGAGGGATTTTCGACGAAAAGTCAAACATACCCCAAAAATAGTCCAAAAATAGTCTGGGGACTATCTTTTGAGTATTTTCTGACCTTTTTGGAGTATTTTGGGGGTATTTTTAATTTTTCGTCCAAAATCCCCCTGTAGGTTTTTTCGCGAGGCCAGGGGCTTGGCATCGCTCGGACGTGTGCATTTTCTTTTCCGGCGAGGACCATCGAGGACCATCCTGGACCATCGAGCAAAAAAAAATGCACGAGACCGAAAAGTGCGCGGGAAAGGGACGTCCGAGCGACGGTAAGTCTCCTCTCGCGAGGGCCAGGGGGGGCTCTTCTCGCTTCTTCTTTTTGTTCGACAGGAGGGCTGCAAGGAAGGGCAGGCACTTGATGCAGAAGACAGTCTCACCATTCCCCCCCTTCTCCTTTTTCGACAGGGAAAAACGCAAAAACAAAAAAAAAAAAAAAAAAAAAACATAAACGTGTGGTGCTCCGCGCGGATTTCTTGGATCCGTGCCGGCCCCCCAGCGGCGCCTCCTGCGCCGCCCCTGGCGCGCTCCGCGTGCCAGGGAGGGTGTCCAGCGCAGATCCAAGAAATCCGCGCGGAGCGACAACAGATCATCAGAGCCCCGAATCATCAGGGGTAACTCGGGTCAGGGATAACTCGGGTTCGTTTTTCGGGAACCAAACCCGAGTTACCCCGGACCCGAGTTACCCCGGATAACTCGGGCGTCCAGAGCCCCGAATCATCAGGGGTAACTCGGGTCAGGGCTAACTCGGGTTCGTTTTTCGGGAACCCGAACCCGAGTTACCCCGGACCCGAGTTACCCCGGATAATTCGGGCGCCCAAGATTATGATTATGGCGTTTTTCTTATTTTAATGTTGTTCGCTCTCTTCTTTTTTCTTAACATTACGCTTATTCTTGTTACCATTCGCATTATTGCTATTATTATTCTTCTTCGTATCCCTCCTCCGTCCTCTTCCTCCTCTTCCTCTTCATCCCCTTCCTCGCGGGTTGGCCGCATGGTCCTGCGAATGTTGAGCGGCCCCCCTGCTGCGTTCGGGTTCAACCTATACTTAGGTGCAGTACAAGCGTCTGAGGTTGACCCAAGCACTCCAGAGCTTAAGAGGCACGTTCGAAAGCTACCTGGGCCGCGAGAGGAGGTCCAGCACAGAAGTCGTGCAGGCATATCAGACGAGACGGGGGCGCCTGCGTGTCAAGTCGGCAGGAAGACGAGACAATGCGTGATTCGGAAATACAGAGGCGGCCCGCTATGGCACGACGACCGACGGTTTGCACCAGCAGCCCTTCACAGACGCGGAGGCCTTGCCGAAGTCCAGGTTGGTGCACTCGGTGGAGGTGGAAGAGGCCTGCCAGGCCTCGGGGAAGGCCCGTGCGCGTGCCAAGTCGGCCAGAGTGGGGCGAGCACACACCGCGAACCGGAGGCACGTGGACGGACCAGACGATCCCCATGTTCGATGCCGACGCCAGGTTGCCTGGGGAGGTCCTCCTCTGGCCTCGGGGGTGGCTAGGGTGGGCGGGGGTGGTCCGCTTTCACGGGGGTTCCCCCGTGGTCCGCTGGGAGGCGCGCCTCGTTGGGCGCGCGCCCCCCGAGCCGTTCACTCGTGCTCGCGGGCACCGAGACCAAGAAAGCACATTCTCCTCTTCCTCTTCCTCCTCCTCCTCCTCCTCCTCCTCCTCCTCCTCCTCCTCCTCCTCCTGCTCCTCCCCCCCTCCCCGCCTCAAGAATTGGTGTGGCCGCGCCAGCGATCGCAGCGAGGAGGACGGCGGCGCCAGCGAAGTCGGAACGAATTTCATCGTGATGAGCTCTCAGGGACGTGGCAGTTCTCGGGGGCGTGATGCAGGAGAAACGGAGACCGTGGGATTCGTCACCAAGGGCTGGACCTGCCGCAGTGATTGCAAGAGGTGCGACTGAGACGAGCGCTGGGAGGCGAAACAATGGCAGTGCCAACTCGGAGCTGCAGTTCAGCGCTGGTCGACACGTGCGCCCTCGAAGCCTCTTCGGCGCCGTGGTGGCGGTGGCAAGAGCAACAACATCAAACAGACTGGAGGCTCGCCCGCCAGCATCGCCCAGGCGTTGGTCAAGGAGGTCGCAGCTACTGCCGCCCGATGTCCAGGCGGCCTTCGAGCTGGCCCAGCAGCACGTGGCACGTCGATAAGGCCCCCGACGCCAATAACTCGGTCTCGGTGGATGACCTGGGAATGTAAAGACCTGGAGCGACGCACTGGAGCAGCGGTCAACTCGGTCGTGCGCCCCCCCCCGCGAGCCATGAAGCGGCCCGCGCCAAGGAGCAGGAACCGGCGCTCCAGCTGGCGGAGGCCGAGGCTCGCAAGCGCGATAGTGGGGCAGCCATGGCGCGCATGTCCAAGCCAGGCGCTGCCCGCACAGCGGCATGAGTGTCGTGGGCCCCACGAGGGCGACACGCTCTTCTCGGCGACGTGGGGCGGCAGCATCCTCGCCGACGTTGAGAAGCTCAGCTCCGAGGGGCAGGACAACATGGCGGCGCTCAAGGAAGCCCTCCTGGACCGTCGAGCCAAGCTCACATCCACGTCCGACGAGGTGAGGCCAAGCTGGAGTTGGCGAAGAAGCTGGCGGCCGGGGGCCGAGCCGAGCAGTCAGCTCGGGCGGCCAAGGAGCGTCGTGCCGAGGCGGCTTCGTCGCAGGCGCTCGCGGCCAAGCGTCGCGGGCCCCATCTGCAGTCGCGCGCCATGCTGGGCGAGTTGGGCCGCGCTAGCTCCGGCATCCGCATCGGGGCGGCGATTGGCTACGACGCCAGATTCACACAGAAGCAGGCCGCCCCCCGGACGACGCCCCGCGGCTGGAGCGACGGGAGCAAGGCCCGCCACTCAAGCCGCGGCGGGAGCCAGGCCCAAGCCACGAGTGCTCACCTCATCCCACGCGCCAGGGCCGAGGTGGAGGCCGCGCCGCGCTTCTGGCTGCGAGGCAATCCCCCAGCGGCGTGCACTGCAGCGGCGGCGCCCTGCGACCTGGAGTCCTGGACTTCGATGACTCCCTGTTCGGGCGTGGCACGGCCGCAGTTCCCCTGGTGCTCTTCGGCGGCGCGAGTGGGGGCCCCCCGAGTCCACGTCGCCGACTCTGCGGCGGGCTGGCCCCGCCGATGCCACCCAGCCCTGCGCGGCGCTGCCAGGGCCTCTTGGCGGGCGAGCGGTGAGCTGTGCATCGCGGCGAGCTGCGGGCGCTGGTGCTAAGTCGGGCGCGTCCCTCTTACAGGAATCTTCACAAACAGTTCAAAAATAGTATGTGGGCAACCTGTTTGGATACGTGTGCCTATTTTTGAATATGTTTTGAGTATTCGTTTTATTGTTCGTCCAGAATCCGCCTGTAGGGGGACATGCCCGACCCCAGGCTGGTGCTGGCCATCCAGTCCTCCGAGGACGTCCTGTTCATCTACGCGGACAACCTCGCCGCGCGCGGGGGGCGGTGGAGGCGGGCCAGATGCGCCCCACGCGGAGTTGCGGCATCGCGCCGGCTTGGCCCTCCACGGGCGTCGGCGCGCCGCGGTGCCCGTGGAGCACGTCAATTCGCGCCCCACCGCCGAGGGGGCCCAGGCGCGGAGGATCCCTGGCGCCCGGCGCCGGGGCAACGCGGTGGCGGGCTTGCTGGCCGGCACCGCCGCCAGCGAGGCGCGCGCGCCCCCGCGCTGGAGCGCGCCCGGGCGCCGGCCGCGGAGGCCGTGGCTTCGCAGGTGCGCCGGCGGCTCCCCCGCGCCGCCGGCCCCCCCGCGCCGCCGTGGACGCGGCGGCCGCCGAGGGGCGCCGCAGGCGGCGGGCTGGCCCCAGGGCGAGGGAGGCATGCTGCGCCCGCGCCGCGGCTCTGCGCGACCTTCGCCTCGTCGCCGCCACCGCGCCGCCGACGGGCGGGGCTGCCGCGCCTGCCGCTGCTCTCCAGCTCGGGCGGGGCCATGACGGTTCGGCGACGGGCGCCATGGGCTTCGCGACGCCTCCGGTTTCACCACGCGTTGGATCAAGTCGGGCGTGTCCCTCTACAGGAGTACCCCAAAATGGCATCAACAAGAAAAAAGACTGGGGACGATGTAGTTTAGTATTGTTGGACGTTGTTGGAGTACGCTCTGACTATTTTACGTCGTTCGTCCAAAAACCCGCCTGGAGAAGGACACGCCCGACCTCAGCGTGGGACCGCTGCTTCTGCGACCGCCGTGGTGCCCTCGGGCCGCCCCGCGGGCGGCGGCGGGGCGACGGGCTCAAGAGGCCAGGCCCGCCCGAGGGCCCCACCCGCAGGGGCGGCGGGCGCGGGCTGTGGCCCCGGGCGGGCAGGCGGGTTCCGCGGGGCGCCCGCGGAAGACTGTCGCCGTCGAGGCCGCCGCGGCGGGCTTCTGAGCCTGCTCGCCGGCGCCGCCGTGCTCGGCTTCAGTCGTGAGCGTCCCTCTACAGGAGAGAGATTCAAAAATGGCTAGGAATAGGCAGTGGACGATCTTCCGAGCATGGTTGAGCATGCTTGAGCATCTTCTGTTCTTGTTTGTACATCTGCCGTCCAAAATCCGCCTGTAGGGGGACATGCCCGACCTGATGCTCGGCGTCGGCGGCCACGTCATCGTCTTCTTCGGCCACGCGCCCGGCGAACGCGCCACGCGCCCCGGCGCGGGGCCGCGGCCTTCATCGCCAGATCGAAGTATCGTGTCTCCAGCCAGTCGGAGGCCGCGGGCTTCATCGCCAGGCCGCGGCCTCCGAGGTTGCTCGCCCGCACGGCCGCGGGCTGCACCGCCGGAGTCTCCGGGGGCTCCCCCTCCTCCCCCTCCTCCCTGCCAAGGGGAGGCTCCCCCTCCTCCCCCTCCTCCCTCCTCCTCCCTCCTCCTCCCTCCTCCCCCCTCCCCCCCCTCCTCCCCCTCCTCCCCCTCCTCCCCCTCCTCCCTGCCAGGGGGGAGGCTCCCCGCCCCCTGCGGCTCGTCCTCCGCCCAGCCCCGAGGCCGCCGCCGCCGCGTGGGACAAGGTCCCCAGCCAGTCGGAGGTCGGCCCCGCCCCCTCTCTTGGCGCGGCAGTGGTCGTCGTCGTCGTCGTCGTCGTCGTCGTCGTCGTCGTCATCGTCGTCGTCGTCGTCGTCGTCGTGGTGGTGTTCGTCCTCGTCCCGCTCGCGGGGACTAGCAGGGAGAGGGGAGGGGAGGGGAGGAAAAAGGAGGCGGAGGAGGAGGAGGAGGAGGAGGAGGAGGAGAAGGAGGAGGAGGAGGAGGAGAAGGATGTGGAGGAGGAGGAGGAAGAGGAGGAGAAAGGATGGGAGGGAAGGGGTGAAGGAGGAGGACGAGGACTAGGACTAGGACGAATACGAGAACGACGAAGGGCAGGCCAGATGCGTTTGGAATGGTAATCAGCAGCGTGCGGTCGTACTAACGATTATGCCTCGCGATGCAGGAGCGTACTTCTAGACGCTTCGCGTATCCCCACCAGCCCGTCCAGAAACGACGCCCAGGCGAGTAGATGGTCGTCCTGAGGGGCTTTTCGGCGTCTTGGGTGCCTCGGGGGGGCCTCTGTGGGCCGTTCGGGATCCTCTTTGGAGCCTCCTGGGGGCCTCTTGGGGCCTCTTGGGGCCATCTTGGGGCCTTTGGGGGCCTCCTGGGCGCTTCTTGGGGCCATCTTTGCCCCCTCAGAAGGCCAAAATGGGGCCCAAACCATAGTAAAAAGGCCTCTGGAAGCACCTTGGGTGCCTCTGGGGGTTCTCTTGGGGCCTCTTGGGGGTCTCTTGGGGGCCTCCTGGGGGCCTCTTGGGGGGCCTCTTGGGGCCATCTTGGGGCCATCCTGCGGCCTCTTGGGGCATCCTGGGGGCCTCTTGCGGCCATCGTGGAGGAAATCGATCAACGAAGAGGGGAGCTTAAATTAGCGCTGCCCCCTCAGAAGGCCAAAATGGGGCCAAAACCATAGTAAAATCAATGATGTTGGCTTCCTCGCCGAGGCCGTTTTGGACGCTCTGACCGCTCGCGCCCCCCCCCGTCCAGGTCAGTGGGGAGGGGGTAGGGGGAGGGGTAAACCCCTCCCCGAAGGGGAAGAGGGAGGGGTGGAAGAGGAAACGCCCTAAACCACCGACGCCCAGAGGGCTGGTGGGATTTTAAAACAACCTGAGCGAGGACGTTCCCGAGATCAAAAAAAGGGGAGGAGGAAGGGGATGGGGAGGAGCAGGGGGGATATCGGCTGGAGGTATCGATATTAGCACGGAGGGTTGTTGGGGTGATGATGATGATGATGATGATGATGATGATGATGATGATGATGATGATGATGATGCTGATGCTGATGATGATGATGATGATGATGATGATGACGAGGATGATGATGATGATGATGATGATGATGATGATGATGATGATGATGATGCTGATGATGATGCTGATGCTGATGCTGATGCTGATGATGTTGATGAGGAAGATGAATAAGGTGAAGATGATGACGAAGATAACGACGATGGAGATGAATATGATAATAGTGATGATGATGATGATAATGATGATGATGATGATGATGATGATAGTGATGGTGATGATGGTGATGGTGATGGTGGTGGTGGTGGTGGTGATGGTGGTGATGGTGATTTGTGATGCTGATGAGGATGACGATGATGATGATAATGATGGTGGTGGTTGTGATGGTCGTGGTGGTGGCTGTCGTGATGGTGATGATGATGGTGGTGATGATGATGATTGTAATGATGATGATGGTGTTGGTGATGATGATAATGATGTTGGTGATTGTGTTGTTGAAGGTGATGATGATGATGATGATGCTCATGATGATGATGGTGAAAAGGTGAAAATAATCATGATGAGAATGATGATGGCAATTATGGTGATATGATAATGATGATTATGATGATTATGATGATGATAATAATGGTGATGGTGATGGTGATGGTGATGGTTAAGGTGACGACGACGATGATGCCGATGATGTATTGGGATATGGGGCAGAGTGGTTAACGAGCCAGATCAATTCATCGGCTTCATATGTTGACAACGTGAATTCACTCACAGCAGAGCAACCAATGATCACGACGGTGGAAAAGAAACAGACAATGAGTGGACCGACGAACATGCCTGGGAAATTGGGCGGAATCGGAGTTGCTCCGGTCCCGGATTCAACGTCAGCAGCTTCGGCGAGGTAGGAGTTTCGTTGACCATTGTCCGCAAACAACGTTTCTACGTCAGTAGAGTTGGCGATCGGGCCACAGACGCGAAGCGCAGTCTGTTGTCGAGAAAGGAGCATGGATTTCGTTTCACAAATGTACGTGTTGACCAGTTCAATTGTATTGAGAGCTCTGCGGTACAAGAATGCGATTATTATGTGCTGTCGGCGCCCACATGCTAGCTTATATGACGCGTAGCCACCCCAGAAATATCCTGCCAGCAGGAGCAGAGTCTGCGACACTCTGCAAAGATAGAGACAGGTATCGCCTTGAATGGGCTAGCCGAATGGAATGTCAAACCACACGTGCTTGTCTGGACTTAGCGTTGCAATCAAATGTTGAATTGCGCTCTCACAAACAAGCCACGGTGGGTGTCCGCCAGACAAGCCAACGCAATCCCACGATAGGTGAACGGTTCCCGGTACAGTGCACGACAATTGCACAGTTCACGGTCGGTTGTCGATAACGGATGCGCGCATGTCGTTTCCGATCGGCGAAAGCGGACGCGCGCATTTTTCGGTTGTCGAGAGTGGCAGGTGGCACCCGCGATCTTGTTCAGGCCACGGTGAGACGGCGCCTTTTGAAATGGAGACGGGCCTTTTGGAAATAGAGTTGCCCATTTTTGCTATATAACCTCAAGAAGCAATTAAGAACCCCCCCTCTCCGGCGAAAGTATAACGCACCCAGCACCCCATAAGCGTTACCTTGGCATCTCGCACCCTGGTCACCCTGTTATTATTATTCTTATTCTTATTCTTATTACTAATACTATTACGCTTATCCTTATATTTATTCTTATCATTATTACTCGTATGTCATTCTTATTCTTATTCTAATTACAATTCCAATTGGGATACCACCCGAGCCGGGGCGCGGGAATTATTTTCGTTTCATTTGCGCGGTGCCAATCAGATCGTTCGGCGAAAACCGCCCCCCATAATTATTGCGAAGGCCTGACGGCCAGTGCCGCCGACGCTGAAGAGGACCACGACGTCGGCGACGAAGTGGGAGGAGGGAGGAGGAGGAAGAGGAGGAGGAGGAGGAGGAGGAGGAGGAGGAGGAGGAGGAGGAGGAGGAGGAGTAGGACAGGGGCGTGGCGGGAGACAGAGGAGATGGAGGAGGAGGAGGAGGAGAAGGAGGAGGAGAAGCAGGAGGGTGGCCGAAGAGAGGGCTCCCGCGGCGCCAGAAAGCCTCGATCCTCGAGCTTGGGGTTCGGAGTCCGCAGAGTGAGTAGGGGGGGGAGGAGGAGGAGGAAGAGGAGAAGGAGGAAGAGGAGGAGGAGGAGGGGGAGGGGGAGTTGTTCTACATGTTCAGTCTTTCGTCATGTTCGGCCTCCGGGGGCCAATTTGGGAACCGGGAAGCCGCGCGGGGTTCCTGAACCGCGCGGGGACCCGCGCCGGACGTGCGGGGAGTGAAAGCGTATTTGGGTGGCGACCCCCCCGGGATCCCCCCCCGCCGGGGAAGGGACAAAGGGAAGGGGCTTCTTTTTGACGTGGTTACGACATGGGTCGATTTTCCTCAAGCCCGCTAGAGCACTGCAACGACGACGACGACGACGACGACGACGACGAACGGCACAGCCCCTCACACACGCCGACAGGGTCGGCGGATTTAATTACGGTGTTGTGCTAATGATAACCGCGGGGGGGTCCCTAATGGCTTCTTGCGGTTAATGTAGTGCAAAGGTTCCGTTTAAATTGTATGTTCTTCGGCCCATCCCGCCATCGTGCTTGGGTCTTTGGTATGAAGCTTACTAGATGTTCGATGGGATCTTTCGGGGGGCATCTTGGGCACCTCTTGGGGCCTCCTGGGGCGTCTTCGGGCGGAGGGCTCGGATTGTCATTTCGTAGTCCCTCGTTTGGACCCCTTTTGGGGCCGTCTTGGGGCGCTCTTGGGCCGTCGTGGGGCCCTCTTGGAAGCCTCTTGGGCTGTCTTGGGTGGTCTGGGGGGCCTCCTGGGCTGCCTTGGAGCGTCGGACAGCCGAACAAGCGAGAACACAAAAATCCAAACAAAAACCTTAAGGAAATCAATGATGTTGGCCTCTTGGGGCCCTCTTAGGAGGCCTCTTGGAAGCCTCTCATGGCATCTTGGAGGCCTCTGGGGCCATCTTAAGGCTTTTGCAAGGGTTCCGCCGAATCTGCAGAACGAGATTTAAAGGGCGCCTCTAGATACAGAAATGCGCAGGTTGCAATCGAAGGGCGCCTACTGAAATTGAAGGGGGGCCGCTTTCAGATTGAAAGTGCGGTCTGGATGCGACAGGCAATTGGAACATGAAAGTGGCTCGGGTCGTCGGATCGTGGGCTCGGGGTCTGGGGTCCGCAGTGGACCCGTAGTCTTCTCGAATTCGAGTCATCGTGACCTCGGGAGCGCGGGTCGATGCTTCTATGCAGGATTGAGGCCTCGCTCGGGAGCGTGGACGCACCTTGGGTAAGTAGGCAAACGTTGCGCGTGTTTCGGCGGCGAGCGAGGGGGGGAAGCGAGAAGGCGAGGGCCTGCTCGGAAGCGTCGGAAGTCACCCAGCCTGCCGAGAAAGCTACTAAGCCCTCCCCGGAGACAGGAAACATACCTCCGAAGGCGCGAGGGTGTATGAGAAGTCCCGCCGCATTCTGAGAGGGCCTTGTCCTTCTCATTTCTCCCCCCCCCTCGCTCGCCGCCGAGTGCTCCCTCCCTCGGCAGACGCGCCACGCTCTCGGGTGGGGCCGCGGGCAGCAGCCTGGGCTCCTCCCTCCGCTGCGCAGGCAGGCGGCTTTTCGGGAGCGCGGACGCACCGCGGGCGCGTTGGCACACGCTGCGCCCGTGGTCTGAGACCACGGGCGCAGCGTGTGCCAATTCTAAGGATCATTCGAGAGCGCGACCTTAATGGCGCATCACTTCGCGCGAGGACAAGGGCCATGCCAGACGACCGCTCCTGAACGCTAATGCGCGCGCGCCCCAAACCTGTTCGCTTCGCCCGAGCACGAAGCCGGCCGTCACGAAGCCCGCCCAATCACCAAACTGCAACATGGGCACCGCGACGGTGAAAAACTCGCGCGCAATGGGCACCCTCCGAGGAAGATAAAGATCATCTCGCGCCGGACGGCGCGCTCAACTTTCGCCCCCCCCCTCGACGCCACCCCCATGTGGATCTGCATGAGTCTCCCTCGGCAGAGGAGCTACAGGGGGAGGCCCATGCCGAGGGACACCCTGCTCGCCTCCAGGGTCTTGGCATCGCTCGGACGTGTGCATTTTTGTTCTCGGCGAGAACCATCGAGGAACATCCTTGATCATCTGGCGAAAAAAAAAAAAACGCACCTAACCGAAAAAAACACAGGGAATGCACGTCCGAGCGATGGCGAGGGGTGCCCTGGGTGTCTTGGGTTTCGATGGTCGCTGTTGTGGGACGCGTGACGTTCCCACGCCAAAAAGTCATGGGCGCCTTGGGAATTCAGGGTTGGGTTTCCTGCGGAAGCTTTCTCGCGGATCCGCCTCCACGCTACGCTCTCATCTGAACCGCTTGTAGCGGCTCGGGCGCTTCCCCAGTTCGCTGCGCAGCCAGACCCGCCATGGTTAGGCAGGGCCTGTGCTTCCCAGCGCCCAGACAGACTCGTCGAACGCATCCCGCAGCCCCATTACCCTTGGGATGCAACTCTTGTGAGGCTGGATTCAGCATCGACGCTGGTAAATCGATGGTCGAAGCTCGTCGAATACGGCCAAAGCCCTATTCAATTCTGTCTGATCCAGCTTAATCCAGCTGGTCGGCCCCACAATCGGGCTTGGTAGTCTTCCATCTTTCTCAGGAAGACCTCCCAGACGCTGCCTGATAACCTCCGCTCCTCCTCCTCCTCCTCCTCCTGCTCCTGCTCCTGTTCATGCTCCTCCTCTTCCCTCTCCTCATCCTTCTCTCCTCCTCTCCTCCTCTCCTCCTCTCCTTCCTCCTCCTCCTCCTCCTCCTCCTCCTCCTTCTCCTCCTCGTCATCCTCCTCCTCGTCCTCCTCTTCGTCCTCCTCCTCCTCTTCCTCTTCCTCTTTCTCCTCTGGCTGGGCCCCGCCCTACTCCCGGCAGGTCGCGAAGAGGCTGCAGAGCGCCGGCCAGAAGCTCGCCGGCAAGGCCGAGAAGGCGAAGCAGAGCACCGTGGCCGCGACCGCGCTCGCGGCCGCGAGTTTACAGGAGTCGGACAGGGCTAGGACGATGATAAATCCGTTCCAGAGCGTTCTGGAACGCTCAGAGCGCTCTGGGACGCTTTGAGAAGGCCACGCCGACGGATCTCCAAGATTCTCCATTGATCCATAGCCGATTTGATCCTCGTCATCGCTTCGTTTTAAGAGGGCCGTGGCCGCGAGCTTACAGGAATCGCTGAGCGCGTTCCGCTACTCGCAGAGTGCATACTCGCACGCGCCCGAGAAAAGAACAGGTCTTCCTCGATGCAATGGATCGTAAGCCCCCCGCGGCGGAGAGCCAGGCTACTTGCGAGCGGCTACCCTGCGAGTAGCGGAGCGCCCTTGCCCAAGGAGGCCGTGTCCGCCGTCGCCAGCGCCGCCGAGCCCGAGCCCGACGAGGGCAGCGCCGCCAGCGCGGCCTCGGCCCCGGCACGCCCGGCGTCCGCCAGCCGCGGGGAGCCAGGCACGAATTTCCTGTTCACTGGCTCCAGGCGTTGGTACGATCGAAATTCAGCCACGCGCAGAGGGGGGGTGGGGGGAGGGGGGAGGGCTTCTTGGAAGCACCCCTGCTTCTTAGAAGGCGCAGGCCTTGTCTATAGATGTAAGGCCGGCGCCTTCTAAGAAGCAGCCTCCTTCTACGAAGCCCTCCCCCCTCCCTCCACCCCTTTCTGCGCGCCGCCAAGACATGGGTACGGAAGGGATGGGTTCGAGCAGTGGCGAGGCGTCCCGGCTCGCCTATTAGGCCCACCAGGGGATGTTGCAAGAACCCGTTTGTAGTGGTCTGAATGATCGGAACATGTTTGGTTGAGGCCATTTCGTTTTAATTCATCGGGTGCGTGTTCTAAGGACAGTGTTCTTGTCTTTCGAACACCTCTTAGTTTAGGGGCATGTCGTGGTAGGCCTATAGGAATGCCGCGACAGCCGGCTTCTGCTGAAGACAGAGCTCCTTGTCGGCGTCGGCTCCACGCTTGGCGCGGCAGACGACGGGCTGCGCCTCACCGAGGGATCCGAGCCGACAGGTGCTTCGCCTTCCGGTCGGTCTCGCCGGCGGTCGGTCTCGCCCGCGGCTGGTCTCGCCCACGCTCGGCTCCGTTTGCGGCCAGCTTCGCGGCTGTCGTTCGTCGTCGCGGCCGCCTTCGTTCTCGCGTCGTCGCGGGCGGTGCTGGTGTCGTCGGTACGCCGTCGTCGCTGTCGTCGTCGTCGCTCGCCGTCGTGGTCGTCCTTCGTTGTCATCCTTCCAAGCCGCCCGTCGTGGCCCGCAGGTTCGTAGACCGGCCCGCCCGCCCGCCTGCTTTGATGCAGTTGTCTCTTCTTCTGCTCTCGCTGCTTTCGCCCAGGCTCGCCGTCGACACTCGCCCCTGGCGAGAGGCCGACGGAAGCGCGCAGAAATGAAGCAGGCGTCGCCGGCAGAAGCAGAAGTGGACCGCCCCAAGACCTCCTCCTCCTCCCCTTCCTCCTCCTAAAAGTAAGTCGGGCGTGTCCCTCTGCAGGAGGAATATTTTTAAAAATATAAGAATTATCCCAGTGCGACCCTACCTAGGAGTTGGAGCCTCTAGGAAAGCAGCATTAGCAGCAGCAATAGTGGATGCTGTGCTGCGCTGTGTTATGCTATGCTCTGCTATGCTATGCTATGCTATGCTATGCTGCGCAATGCTATGCTGGACTAGGCCAGGCTAGGGTATGCTATGCTATGATATGATATGCTGCGCTGTGCTATGATAAGCAATGATAGGCTATGTTATGCTATGTTATGTTGCGCTATGCTATGCTATGCTATGCTATGGTATACTATGATGAGCTATGGTATGCTATGCTATGCGATGCTTGGCTATGCTATGCTATGCTGTGCGAATGCTGCGCTGAGATATGATGCGCTGCGCTAAGTTAAGCTAAGGTCAGCTAAGATATGCTAAGTCATGCTAAGCTAAGCTAGGCTAAGCTAAGCTAAGTCAAGCTAAGCTAAGCTGAGCTAAGCTAGGATGAGATAAGCTAAGCTAAGTTAAGCTAAGCTAAGCTAAGCTCAGCCAAGCCAAGCCAAGCTAGGCTAGGCAAAACTAAGCTAAGCTAAGCTAAGATGAGATGAGATAAGCGACGCTAAGCTAAGCTTAGTTAAGCTTAGCTAAGCATAGCTAAGCTAAGCTGGGTGAACCCAGGGGGCGCAACTGGGGGAACCGCGGGGCGGGGACTGGGGGAACCGCCCGGGGCGATTTCCATTGCCCGGCCCTTTAAGCTAAGAGAGTAAGAACCCTTCTAGGCAGAGCCTAGGTAGGGAAAAATGCCCTGGGGACGATTTTTGGACTACTTTTGAGCATTTGGGGGACATTTTTGGAGTATGTTTAATTCTTCGCGCAAAATCCGCCTGCAGGGGGACATGCCCGACCTAATCTGCAAAGAAGAGGCAAAGCTGGGGCAGCACAGGTCGGGATGCAGTTCCTGGGAGGGCATCGGCGCTTGTTTACTTAGTCATCCGTGGTCGAAAACTAGTTTCTAATCCAGCATCATCCCGTTCAATGCGCCCTCATTCCGCTCAATCTTGCTAAATCCGGCCTAACTCGGGCTCATTCCGGCCTCCTCTGGCCCCATGGCGAAGATGAATTGTACAAAGGTCTCCCAGGGGATGCGCATCCTTACCCAGGGTTGCGAAAAGCTGGGCAGGTGGAAGTCGCAGCTCAAGGGATTCGCGCAGAACGCCCACGCGGGCCTGCAGAGCAGCCTCACGGCCGCCGCGCGCACATCGCAGAAGGCGGCCGCGGGCACGTCGGACCTGCTGCAGGAGGTGGGCAGCCTCGTGAGCCAGGTCTTCAGTCGCGCCTGTCCCCCTACAGGAGGAAGATTCGAAAATAGTCAGGGGACGATAATGCATGTTGGAGGTTGGTTTGCATGTTTTGACTATTTTCTTTTCTCGCCCAAAATCCGCCTGTAGGAAGACACGCCCGACCTGAGCCAGGTCAGGCAGGACATCTGGGACGGCGCCCCGCCGTCGGGCCCCGGCGCCGCGGGCAGCCAGCCAGTGCCCCAGGCGGCCAGCCGCCCCTTCGCCCCGCCCGACCGAAGGCCGCCTGCCCAGACGCCAGAGGGGCCGGCGTCGCAGGAGCCGCCGCTGCTGCAGCTGCTCAAGGAGGGCCAGTCTCAGTGGGCCCAGCCGCCGCCGCAGGAGCCGCCGCTGCTCCCGCAGCAGCCGCGGCCCAGGGACACTGCTGGCGAAGGCGCGGCGGCTGTCGAGGACTCGGCAGCCCCGGCAGGGCCGGCCTCAGTGACGCCCGCTGTGGCCGCACCCGCCGCGGCAGAGCCGGTCGCAGCGGCGGTGCCTGCCGCGGCCTCGCCAGCTGCAGGGGTGCGCGCCGTGCACGAGCCAGTTGCAGCACCGGCCGCGAGCGCCGTGGCGTCGTCCGCCATCGCGGCACCCGTCGCGGAGCAGGCGTCCGAGGAGGCCCCGCCATCGCCGGCCGTGGCAGCGCAAGTCGCTGCGCCTGCGCCAGCAGCTGCACCAGCAGTGGCGCTGGCGGGTGCGGAGGCTGTCGCGGCACCCGTCGCGGAGCCGGCGCAGGAGGAGGCTCCGCCATCGCCGGCCGTGGCAGCGCAAGTCCCTGCGCCGGCGCCAGCAGCTGCGCCAGCAGCTGCGCCAGCAGCTGTTCCAGCCGTGGCGCTGGCGAGTGCGGAGGAATCGCCGCCTGCGGGAGCTGCGGTCGCCGCGCCCTTGGCAGCGGCGGCGGCACCCTCGGCGCTGCCGGCCGCCGCGCCGGCGGCCCTGGGGTCCTCGGAAGCGCCCGCTGGAGCTGAGCTCGCCGCGTCGTCGCCAGCCGAGGTTGCAGCAGCGCTTGCCGAGGCCAAGGCCTCGGCGCCAGGTGAGGCGCCAGCAGCGGCGGCTACAGAGGCTGCGTCTCTGGCGGCTGCTTCCTCGAAGGATCGGTGGCGGCTCGTACGTAGTTCAGGGGGGACTTCATTCAGCTCGCTGTGGGGGGGGGGGGGGCACAGTCCATGTGTGTTGTGTAGTGTGTTAAATGTAGTCTTTAGTGGATAGTCAGTTTGTGTTGTCTGTGATGTGTGTGTTGTGTTTTGCGTATTGTGTGTTGTGTGTCATGTGTTGTGTATTGTGTCTTGTATCTTGTGTGTAATGTGTTGTGTGGTGCGTGTTGTGTGTGTTGTGTGTTGTGTGATGTGTGATATGTGTTGTGGGCTGTGGGTGTGGGTGTGGGTGGGTGGGTGGGTGTGTGGTGCGTGGTCTGCAGTGCGGCGGGGTGTGTGGGTGTGTGAGTGTGTGAGTGTTCGTGTGTGTGTGTGTTCGTATGTGTGTGCTTATGTGTCTGTGTCTGTGCGTCTACAAGTACAAGTGGTACTTGTTTGTGTAAGCGGAAGTGTAAGTGTGTGCAAGAGTGTGTTTGTGTGATTGTGTTTGTGTGAGAGTGTGTTAGTGTGTTGTTTGTTTGTGTGTAGGTGTGTGTGTGTGTGTGTTTGTGTATGCGTGCATGTGTGTGGGTGGGTATGTAGGTGTTTGTGTGTGTGTGTCAGTCTCTGTCTGTGTCTCTGTCTATGTGTTCGTCTGTGTTGGTGTGTGTGTGTGATCGTGTGTGTGTGTGTGTCTGTGCGTCTGCGTATGCAAGTACACGTGGAAATGGAAGTGGACGTGGGATTGTCTTTAAGAGTGCGTGTGTGTGTGTGACTCTGTGTGCGTGTTTGTGTGTGCGTTGTGTGTGTTGTGTGTGTTGTGTGGTGTGTCTGTGTGTGTTGTGTGCATGGTGTTGATTGTGTATGGTTGTGTGCGTAATGTTGTTGTGTACTTGGTTATGTGTCTTGTGTGTTTATGTTGCTGATGCTTGCTGCTTGTATTGCTGATGCTGTTGTTTGTGGCTTTGTGTGTGTTTGTGTTGTTTGTGTGTGTGTTTGTGTTGGCGAGGAAGTCGGTCTCGCAAGCCGACGTTTCAGGAGTCATCCGCATCCACACCTTAGTTGCTATTAGGGTGCTTTGCTGGGGTAATCGTGTGGTTGTGTTTCTGTTGCTTGTGCTGCTTCTGAGGAATAATTCTTGTTAATCCCCCAGGTACAGTGCCTATTTGTATCGAAGACGCTTACGGCGAATCACCGCCGCCCCCTGCCTTTTAGGATACGCCTGTGTGGCCAAACGTGTGGGCAAAGTTTGGCCACGCTATTGGACCATGCGTTCCCCCAGCCGTTGTGGAAGCCCTTGGGGGAACACGTGGGGGAGGACGAGGAGGACAAAGGAGGTTGAAGAGAAGGATGAGGAGACCTCTTGCGAGCTTCTTATGTCATTCTTGGGGCCTCATGGGAGCTTCCTGGGAGCCTTTGAAGGCCTCTTGGGGGCCTCCTTGGGCCCCTTGAGGGGCCTTTGGGGGCTTATTGGAGGCCTCTTTGGCCGGCTTAAGGCGTTCCTGGCCCGTCTGACGTTGTTGGAAGCCGTTTTGCTAGTTTGGGCGCTCCAGGGTTGCCTTGAAGGCCATCGTGGGCGTCTTGGAGGCCTTGTGGGCCGTCTTGAGGCCCTTTGGGAACCGTCTTGGGAGCCTCTAGGGCCGTATTGGGACCATCTTAGACCGTCTTGGGCCGTCGGGATGCCGTTTTGAAGCGAAGTCCGAAATATTGAATTTTTAGTGTGTGTGTGTGTGTGTATATACACACAAAAAAGAAACTAAGCAACATTCACGATGTTGTCCCCTGCGGGCCTTCCTGGAGGACATCTTGGAGGCCGCTTGGGCCGTCGTGGGGGTCTGTTGGGCGCTTGTTGGGCGACTCTCTTCGACCATCTTGGCGATCTTGGAGTCTGGAGGCATATTGGGGCCATCTTGGAGGCTATCTTGCGGCAGGCCATCATGGAGGCATCTTGGAGGCCATCCTGGCCGTATTGGGGGGCCATCGTAAGGGGGGAAGCCAGTGAAGGGCGCGTTATCCGGGTGGCCGGCGCTCTGGTCCGAAGCCCCAGAGCGAGTTCTTCAGAAAAGAACCAATATCTTGCCAGAAGCCCAGCACGCCGTGCACCCTTGTGGCAAGCCACGGGTGGCGGCGGATCGAAGACGCTTGCGGCGAATCACCGCCGCCCCCTGTCTTTTTGGAAGCGCCTATGTGGCCGAATGTTGTCGCCACGGCTCGGCCAATCCATCGGACTATCTGTTCCCTCAGCCGTCGTGGAGGCCCTTCGGGGAACACGTGGGGGTTGATTGATGAAGAAGAAGAAGAAGAATGAAGAAGAAAAAGAAGAAGAAGACGAAGAAGAAGAAGAAAAAAAAAAGGGGGGGAGGACAAAGGAGGAGGAGGCTCTTCAGGAGCCTGTCGGGGGCACGTCTGAAGTCTCTCGGGAGCTTCTTGGGGATCCCTCTGGCCGTCGCAGGGCGCTCCGTCGCACCTCTGACGCAGTCAGGAGCCGCCTCGGAGGCCTCTCTGGGTCGTCCTTGGGCCTACGCAGGGCGCTCCAGGGCCGTCTTGGAGACCATCTTGGGCCTTGGGCCGTCTTGGGGCCCTTTCGAGGCCGTCTTGGGGGCCACTTGGGCCGTTGTTGGGGGCCACCTTGGAGGCCTCTCGGGCGCTCTGGGGGCGATCTTGGGGGCCTCTTGGGCCGTCGGAAGGCCGAGAAGAAGCAAACGCCAAAATCCTTCAAAACTTTTTTTAAGAAAATCAAGATTCGGGACCTCCCAGAGGACTTCTTGAAGGCCTTTTGACCCGTCTTCAACGCCTCTTGGTGGACTCCTGGGCCGTCTTGGGCCGTATGTGAGCGGAATTGGAGATATCCTTGACCTTCATGGGTCGTCTAGGAAGCCATTTTGGATTATCTTAGGCAAATGTGTGGGCCATCTTGGCCTTTTTGGAGGCCATCGTGGGCCAACTCAAGCTATCTGGGGCAGGAACAACTTTTACAACCACCAGTTCTGGGTTGCATGCGCGCTGTGCCGAAGCCCCAGAGCGGGAGTTTCCGAAGAACCAAGAGCCTCTAAGAAGTTTGGCACGCCAGGCGCACCTTTGTGATAAATCGACAGGGGGCGGCGGATCCAGTGGTCTTCTGCCCATCCCGCCACCGCGCCTGCCTGGGCTGTAGGTCAGAGGCCTCCTGGATGCCTGTGAGGATCTCTTGGGAGGTCTCTCGGATGCCTTTTGGAGGCGGTTTTAGACGTGTCTTGGGGCGTTTGGGGGGGGCCTCGTGGGGCCTGATTTGGGCATCTTGGGAGCCTATTTGGGCCTCTTGGGCACACCTCTGGGTCTTGTGGGGCGATCTGTGGGCCATTTTGGGGCGGGGGGCTCAAAATGTCAGTTCGTGCTACCTATTTTGGAGCCCTTCTGGGGCCGTCTTGGGGTCCTCTTGGGCCCCTCTTGGGTGCTTTGGGGCAGTTTGGGGGCGATCTTGGGCGCCTCTTGGGCCGTCTTGGACGCCCTGGAGACCGAAAAGGCGGCAACACGAAAACCAGGCAAACGCAAGTGGATTGTGACGAGTTTGGCCTCTTGGGCCGCCCCCGTGGCCTCCAAGACGGCCCAGGAGGCGCCCAAGAAGCCTCCAGCACGGCCCCCAGGGCCGTCTGAAACCATGTTGGACACGCATGCCCCGAGCAACGTGCCCTAGGCCTTTCGAAAAGTGACGCTGAGAGCGCCCGGGAACGCCTGGAGCCGTGGGCCCCTGGAGGAAGATGCACGGAAGTCACTACCGAGAACTCAAAAGGACTTGGCGCCCAGGAGCGCCCAGAACTCCAGGCTGGAGACTGTTTTTGGGGGTCGGGCGATAACCCGGGTTATCGGGCTTGCCCCCCCTCCTCCCCAGGATAACCTAATTTTGCCGGTTGTGCAGGTTCGCGGGAGGGGGGCGCGGGCATATGCAGGGTTGCCCACAGCGCGAGGGTTAGGTGATCGGCCGGCCCCCTCCCCCCCCGGGATAACCCGGGTTATCGCCGATTCACACAACAACAAAAAAAAATACTCCGACGGAAGGACCCCACATGAGAATCTCTTTAGCTTGCATGGGAGTATCCTCCTGCCCTTTCCCTTCTCCCACCTACTCTTGCCTCCTCGTTCTCCTCCTGTCTGCTCCTCCTCCTGCCTCAACCCCTGCCTCTTCCTCCTCTTCTTGCCTCCTCCACCTCCTCCCCCTCCCCCTCGTTATGCTTCCTCCCCCCCATTCCCCCTGCCCCTCCTGCCTCCTGCCTCCTCCTCCTGCTCTCCCTCTCCCTTCTCCTCCTCCTCCTCCTCCTCATCCCCTGTCCTCCTCCTCTCCCTCTCCCTCATCCGCTTCCTCCTCCTCCTCCTCCTCCTCCTCCTCCTCGTTTCCATATTCCTCCCCCCTCCTCCCCCCCCCTCCTCCTCCTCCTCCTCCTCCTCCTCCTGCCTCCTCCTTAGGCCTCCTGCCCCCTCCTGGGGCCTCCTGGGGCCTCTTGGGGCCTCCTGGAGCCTTCTGGGCCTTCCGGGACCTACTGGGGCCTCCTCGGGCATTCCTCCTCCTCCTTTTCCTCCTCGTCCTTCCTCCCCTCAGCCTCTTCCTCTTCCTGCTTTCCTGTCTCGTCCTGCATCATCCCTCCTCCTTTTCCTGGCAATCCTCCTCCTCCTCGTCCTCGTGCGGAACACGACCCAGAGGAAGCGCACGACGTGCGTCCCAGCCGATACGCGCCGGAGGACGACCCAGAGGAAGCCCGCGCCGGAGGATGACCCGGAGGAACCACGTGAGCTGCGGGACCCATAGGAAGGCTCCCGCCTGACGCGTCCTCACAATTCACTCACAGACGAGGGTCCCGCTTGATACTTCTTCCAAATTCAGACCTGAGGAGCCCAAAAGTGACGACAGTTACAGGAATCCGATGACCCGCTCGGATTAGTAACATGATCTGCGGGCCCCATAGGGAGGGGGCTCCCGCTTGAGACTTGCTCGCAATTCACTGACAAACGATGTTCCCGCCTGATACTTCCTCCAAATTCAGACCT